AGCAGCCGCTGCCGGAGGAGCCCCTGTGAGTCCTTTTGCAATCCTCTTTCTCCCCTTGCTGCCAGGCGATCGGGGCCGTATCCCTGTGGGGTGCAGCCCTTTTGGGGCTGGTTTAAAAGCCATGGGGCTGCGTTCATACAGAAGTTAGTAAGAAATTAAGAAGTTGCCCAAGCCCACCTGTTTCCCGTGGATCACAGCCATGGGCTGCGTGTGCATCAGCCAATATTTGTTGCAGCTCTGGGTGCCCACTCCCGGGGGCTGCACAGGCTCTTGGTACAAGGAGAGCATCCAAAATCCATGTGCAAGGTTGCAGAAAGGTGGAGAGAGGTGGAGGGGGAGGATTTTGCAAAGCACTGGGTTATTTTGGGAAGAGTGCTTGGCAGTAGCAAAAGGGACGTGGCTCCTTCCTTTTTTTTCCTGCAGAGAAAAATGGAGAATTTAAGGGAATGTTCTGGGGTTTTATTAACTTTAACGTTAACTTAAGACAGTGAGGGTGTCTGGCAGCTGAGCGCACACCCCTTCCTACCTCCTGATGGCTTCTCAGCCATGGGGATTTGAGCACTTGATTTCATTTTGCTGCCACCAATAAAACAAGTGTCAAGAGGGAATGGTGGGGTGGAGAGAGGGACAGGAATCATCTCGAGTTGGGAACAGGAGCCCAAGTGGAGGGTGGGGACCAGTCCCATTGGTGACTGCTGAAGCGGGAGTGAATAATAAACAGGGGTGGTGGATATTTGGCAAGATAAATGGTGCACAGAAAATACTCTCCTTGCAAACTTCCTGGGGATAAAAATGATTTAAAGAGACACCATCAAGATAAAAATCATATCTATTCAAGAAAAACTTCTTACAAGTGTTATTAATAGTACTTGAGATTGTTATGCTGGGAAGGGCTTTAAAATATTGCATTTGCTGTTTGCTGTCGGTGCTGCCTGGTTTAACTTCCACAGCGTGCTCAGCCCAAGAGAGCAACAAGGAGTTTGGTGGCCAGTGTAGGTGCAAAGGTGAAACCCCAGGGTCACGCTGGCTTCCCTGAATGCAGCTCCTTGGCATCTTAGGGGCCGTCACTGCAGGGTGCAGACATTCAGGTGCATTTCTCCACCCCACACTCAGGCTGTGAGCATCTTACTGCACCCCACATCACCTTTATGCGGCGGTGTTGAGGTTGGCTTTGTGGTGTTGACCCCGGTGTTGGTGCTGATGGACCCCAGCACAGAGCTCACGGAGCTGTGCCCAGAACCAGAGGCAGGATCTGGAGAGATTTCACTGGAAGCCTCCAAGCAATGCCTGCCTTGCCCGCATCCCTTGGGAAGCTGGGCTTTGACTGATTAAAGGCTTGATTAAAGGCTTCTCCGGCATCACAGACCTCCTCCCTGGGTGTTTAATTACAGGCTGTGATCCACTTGTCTCCTAATCTTCTCTTCGCTACATCAAGGCACCGCTCAGCCAGGTCCCACGGCCCCGCTCGGCACCGCTTGCACAACCCAGCCCCCGAGGGTGCTGCTGTTCCGCGGGGAGGTGTCGCGGGGTGGGCGGCAGGGAGGGGTTGCTCCCAGCTCTGGGCTCAGCACAGCACACCAGGAATGATGTTTTCCTCTTCCCTCTCATTTTTTCCTTACTTTTGCAAAGGTGTGGCAGCACAAAGTTCTGGCGTCTCCGATCTCTGCGTGCAGGAGGATGAGGCACGAGGGGGCTTTGCCTTGGAAGAGGCAGAGGGGAGGGTGGAGGTGCCCTGTGTGGGTTTGGGGCTGGGGTTGGGACTTTTCAATACCATGGGGAGCCTGGTGCTGCCCATCCGATGTCCCCACACTGGGGACAAGCCAGTCTGTTTGCCTAAAGACCCAAGGCTTCATCCCTTTCACATGCTCAGCCCTGCAGAGCTTCTCCTGCCCAGCCTAAATCTCTCCGGCTCTGACACTCGTTATTTCTTTTCCTAACCTCTCCGTGCACACAAGGAAGGATTACACCTTTCCTCTCCCGCAGCACGCTCGCACCTTTGAAAATTGTGACCGTGTCTCCCTTCTGCCTCCTCTGAACTGCTCAGCCTCGGAGCTCCCGGTCTCTGCCTGCAGGTCTCGCTTTGCAGCCCCCCAATCATTTCTGTTGCTCTCTCTGGGCTCTTTCCAAGCGCTTGACATCTTTCAGCCACACGAAGATTCATTTTTGCTGTCTGGCCTCCAGGTACTCGGGGAAAAATGGGACCGCTGCTGTATTTTAAGCCGACTGGTTTGAAAACTGTGAAAGCAGAACCGAGAATTTAATGGCACGTTAAATATACGGCTGATTGTTAGGTCCAATTCTGATTTCAAAGCAAATGTGACCCTGGGAATTAAGGATGAAGATGAGTTTCACTACAAGGTAAATAAAAATTAATGGATGGTGGTATAAATATAGCTGCATATTAGAAGCAGACACGTGTCTTTGAAATACACTCAATTAGAGAACTGAGAGTTTGATGGTTATGTGGTTTTTGTTTTTTTTAATAAACCTTCATAAACATGGCAAAACTTCAAGGACTTACAAACAATAAAAGCAGCCCCAGCTCCAGTACCTACCTCCAGAGCTTTATGACTGTTCTGCTCCTTGCATAAAACAAAAGCACCACCACAAATTAAGCCAGTTACTTTTGTCTGGCTCTCAGGCGGTGGCTGGGACCCGTGCCCGCGAGCAGGGTGTTGATGAGGAGTGACCATGATGTTCCCAGGGCTGGTGGCTGGTCCCCACTGGGAAATGGGTTACAATGGGTTGCAGGCACTAATTAGGCAGAGCGGACCTGGGATGCAAATTCCTGGGTGTGGGTGCTGAAAAAGCTTCACCCCTGTGCTCGGGGGCTTTTGCCTGGTCTTCCTCCCTTTGCTCTGGGACTGAGCCCTTGAGGGTGATGGAGCAAGGACTGGCTCTTGGCAGCCAGCCCTGTGCTGGGGCCAGAGCGGAGCACGGGTGTTGCTGATAAGATTTCACAAGTGTGTGAAATCACACAGGGCAGCCAAAGCAGCATGGTACCGGGCAGCTTTGCACTGTGCATGCACTGCGCTCCTGCAAACCTGCCTCTGGTTTCGGGTCTGCAGTGGGAGCTGAGCTCTGTGAACCCTACCCCAGCGGATTGGCACCAAGGGTTGGGGCTCACAGGGTCTTGCCCATCTTGAGGTTCTTGGTGCCGCTTGATTCACTCCAAAAGAAACCCCTAAAATCAAGCAGGAGAGAGAGAGGAAGGAAAGATCCTGCTTTGGGCAACGGTTGCCTCGAATTGTTACGAAACTTTTTGCAAACACCGAACAACAAAGAAGTGAAACGCGGAGATTTAATTATCCGTAATTGTACGCACGCAACTGCTTAATTAAGCTTTTCCTTTTTCAACCTGACAGAATCTGCTTGCAAGGTGCGGGCGTGAGGGGCGGCTGCCCATCTGGTGGGCCATCTGCAGCACCAGCAGGAGAGGCGAGGGAGCCCCAGCACCGCAGCCCGCGGGCGAGAGGATGCCCGAGCCTGTGCCTTGTCCTCACTTGCGCCCCGTGCCAGGTTTCAGGATGGGATGGATGAAAAAACACCACAATCTTCAATTCCAGCTCGTGGTGATATCCTTACGGATATGGACCTGAATTTGGTGATGTACTGGAGGTAAAACTCAGGCTTCGAGGAAAGTCAGTCCTTAATCTTGTGATCTTGTGGGAGCTCTGCTGCCGTGCCCAGTGGTGATGATGGGTAACAGCTGGGGCCACAAAACTGTCCCTGCTCCAAGCCTGCTCCCCTCTCACCCCACAGCATCGTCCTTCATGGGATGTGGGTGATGAGGGCAGACAAACAGCAAAAACTAGTAAGCCAAAGAAACAGGGAGGGGGACACCAAACCCAAGCCCCCCTCTTTCTCAGATTCAAATTAAAGTCATAATGCTGTTAGGAACATGATTCAGAGCTTATGAACATGTTGTTTATATTGATTTATCCCCACAGCCTTCAAGACTTCTTGCAAATAATTAGGGTTGATGTTGCCAACGCTGGAGCTAAATGTTGAAACCACAAAATGAAAATCGCATGCTTTGGCCCTGCCTCATGAACACAGTGCGCTCAAGCAAATGCCAACCTCAGCAGCGTGCGCCCTGCACGGTGCCTCGATGTGATGCTGATTGTGGCAGCCAGGAGGATGCGTGGCCATGGCACGGGGTGTCTGGAAACCCCAACCCGGGTCCCTATTGCCCTGCAGAGCTGAGCCACCCAGCCCTGCAAACCGCGGCTGCGCTGCCTCAATGGCCATCCCCACCGAGCACCGCTGCCTTTTCTTTCCAATACAGTAGTTTTATTAAATTTTTTTCCTTGTCCTTAACACGGTTTATAACAAGACAGAACACATGTACCGGGTCTAGGAAGGTATATTATGGCCTCGCCTGGGGCCAGGTTACACGGCTCCGGCTGGCGAGCGCGTGCTCTCCCTATTAGCAGCCGGGGCTGATGTGGAAGCGGCTCCCCGGGGACAGCCCGGCTGCTGCAGTGATGGAGAGGGTTCGAGCTGCTTTTCCCGGTGCAGAGGATGCCCTCCATTGAGCTGCTTGGTTACTTTTTTATAAAACCCCATCCATCAGCAGGGCAGACGGCATTTTTCCAGCTCAGGGGGATGGGTTTCTTTCACCACCACTCTTAGCAATGGGGCTCGCGCTGTTCGTCAGTCCCTGTGGAGGTGACACCAGCACGTGCCTTGTCCCTGTGTTTGGGAGCCCGGCAGACCACCCAGCAATGATGCCAGGTGCAAGAAGCCAGCCTGGGTACCACCAGGATGAGGCTGGGCCCTGTGGAAGAATTGCATCACGAATTGCCCAGGCTTCACAGGGAGAAGTCAGCGGGATCTGGGGAGGAACTCAGCCAGGTGTCCAACAAAGCAAGCAAAAATGAGATGGGCTGGGGCTCCCCAATGGATGTGCTCAGGAGAGGCAGAGATGCTTGTGATGGATCTGGCACAGCCTAGATCCTGGGAAGAGGCATCAGCAGTGGGGATGGCAAGCCCAGCAGCCCTACCTGCCCCTAAACATGCGAGGAAAAGCCAGCACGAAGTGGAGGAGGAAGGGAAATGAGCCCCAGCTGGGGACACCCGGGGGTGGGCAGCAGGCAGCTCATGCCCTGCACCCTCCCTTTGATACCCAGCTGCTTGGGCCAGGGAGAGGCTTTGCAGGGAGAGGAGCTGGTGAAGCTGTGCAGAGGCCCCTGGGGCTGGCTGGATGCTCACTGTGCAGACCTCTGAGCCGGGCTTTGGCACCCGTCCCCTCTGATGAGCCCTGGGAGCACTGCAGCAGCGATGGGAACATGGTGAGTGCTCTCAGCTTAAAAAACACCTTCAAAATTTGCCAGGTCAGCACCAGGACAGGCCATGGGGCTGAGAGTTTTGGTGCAAGGTTTCGGGATGTTTTCCGGAGCAGAGCTTTGTTCCAGAAATCAGCTTTAATTACATGCTGTGCTCAGTGCCCCCCCCAGCACGCCGGGCTGTCGGCAGAGCCATCGCTCATCTCGCCCAGGTTTGCTGCGTCCCACTCGCGCCAGCTCTTATCTCCCTGTTTATTGCTGTGAAGTATTGAAGTCAGAAAGGCTGACTCAGCAACGGAGGCTGGAGGTAATTTTTGCACATCTATCACAGCGACGAGTCCCACTCCTGTCTGCGTTTATTGGCGGCTGTGTCACCTTGCGGCGGGCTCGATCCGGGGCTGGGACCAGTGGTGGCACGGGTGTCCCATGCCTGTCCCAGCCGCTCCAAGCAGGGCAGAGCTCAAAGCACAGCACCGGGTTTGCAGCAGACGTCAGACCTTTCCATGCCTTGCTGGATGCGGGATGGGATGGAGCTGGAGCGGTGACAGCCTGCTGGCGTGCCACGGTCCCCCAGCATTGATGGATGGAGCGATCAGCCAGCAGCGTTGTAGCAGGGAGGGGAGAGAGGGGTAAAACTTTGTGTTATCTGAATGAGAGAGCGTGAGAAAGAGTGGCTGAGCCTCTCGGAGAGGGAAAAGCTTTGTTTGTGTGTTTATTCCCCGTTAATTTATTTAAGTGGCACGGAGACCCGCTAATGAAGTGTTGAAGATGGATTGTGGCTGGGTTGTGTTACATGGGGCTCGTAGGATAGTTAATTACCCTGAGAAGCTTGAATGCAATGAATACTTCATAAAGCCAAAGCCAACGGTGAATTATTCATTATCCATTTACCAGGGGTGGCTATGATAAACCCTCCAGGGCCAGGGACTGCGCGTGGGCTCTCCTTCCTGGCTCTCAGCAGACACAGACACCTCACCAGGGAGAAATTACCATCCATCCCGAGCCCTGAATCATGCTCAAGGAGAGAACCCTAGGGGAAAAGAGCCACGAGATGGGAAAACTCAGCAGACCGTGGGCAGAGCGAAGGACCCGACCAGCTTTAAGTCCTGGTGCGGTGCCACGGCTGGATGGTGCCTGGGTGGGGGTTGTAACAGGGCTGTTGCATCCTGGCTGCTGCTGCAAAAAAAAAATAGTCTTTGCTGCCATCTACCTCTCCTGGGCTTCCCTGCAGCTGGCCCGGCTCCGTGGGGAGGCTCTGCCGTGGGCTGTGGGCTCTGGGGGGCTGCCCTGGGAGCCCCAGCACCTCTTGGCCTTGGACTGAGATCCAGATGGAGCCTCGTGATGGCAGCGCTTGGGCTTCTTGGTGCTCCCCTCCATCCTCACCTTCCTCCTCTGATTCAGTTCCCTCCTTGGTGGCTCTTGGTCCAGCACGGCCTCGGATGTTACTCGCTCCCCCACGGGGGGTGCTGCCTTCCCGATCTCTGTGCCTGGGGGAAATAAAGACCAGGAGGGGGGAAGCCAGGTGCCAGACATCCCGCTTCACCCAGCATCTGCCACCAAAATGTCCTGCTCCAGCTCCAAGGCAGCAGGCTGTTCCCTCCATGCTCCCCATTTCATCATTTTTCTGGCACAGGCAGCACACCCCACACCTGGCTGGGATTTTTTCCTACACCCCCTGGCCGAGCCTGCCCCCCCCACGCTGATCCCTGCTGGAAGCAGCAGCAGTGGGAAGTCCTGGTCCTTTCCTTCCCGCAGCCTTGGCTCTGCTGTCCTGCTGCCCGTGCTGTATTTGCTCCTTTGGTGCCCAATTCAGGCTATCTCCCCCCACCTCTTCCACTCAATTTGTAGTTCGGTGTTATCCCCTGAAATCTCTGCTCCTGCCGATGTTCTCTGCACCTTAAAGAATATTTAACCACCTGTTAAATTATTTATCCCTCCGAGGTTTTGTGCACTCGGGGCAGCTTGCAGGCCTCCTGGAGAATTAACTAGAGCCATAAATCAAAGAGACATTTGAGAAATTTCCCATTGCTTGTGCTGATGGCGGCCTGGCCCCTGAAATGCCACTCGCAGTTTGGGAGCTGGGTGCTGCCACTTGCTGCTATTACTTGTTTAGGAGCTTGTTAAATGTAGGAGTTAAATAGACTCCAGGAAATAGATACGACATGCCAAGTGCTGGCTACGGGGGAAATTGGGTGGCTGCCACCCCTAATGCTCCTTTTCAGGGTGGGTTTTTTTCAGGCTTTGCAAAGCACCAACATCGATCACGTCTGAGGGTGACGGCAGCCCAGGGCTGCTCGTGGGCGGCTGTGGGGCAAGGGGACAGCGATGCTCCTGGGGGCCGTGTGCTGGGGTCTGGAGGGATTTGGGGTTGGGAAAGGGGCTCAGAAGTGAAGCTGTGTTAGGGCAGGTGTGGTGCTTGCTGCTGGGGGTACCCTGATCCCAAACCACAGCTGGGGCTGGAGGTGAGCTCTTCTGCTCCTTTTTCAGGATGTGGGTGATGGAGACACTGGCAGGGAAGAACAGAGTGGGTGCTGATGCTCTGCAGTGCCGGTAAGGAGGGTGCACATTGATCTCCAGGGTTGCAGCCTGCCCCTAGGATGCCCTGCTAAAAACCCCTATAGTCCCAAGCTTGCTGCTCCGACCACTTTGCCCGTTTCCTTGCAGACCACCAGGGCCAGGGATGGCGCAAGGTGCCTGTCCCACTGCGGTGCTCAAGCTGCATGTCCATGGGGTTTGGTGGCCAGCGTGCAGTGGCATTTCCTTGGTCTGACAAACCGAGCCTTGTCCTGGGTGTCCCCAGCATCTGCAGGAAAAAGTTGGGAGCAAAAGGAGGTACAGAGGAGAAACCCAGCAAGGGGGCAGCTGGTGGTCAATCTGCCAGCCCCGTGGTTTGTTTTCACTTGTGCATCTCAGCTGAGGATGGAAACTTGGGTGGTCTCAGCAGGACAATGAATGTGATTTTTGCACGGGGTGTTTTTGGATGCCAGCCACAGCAGCAGCGTGGCCAGGCTGGAGCAAGGCAGCAGCCATGCTCAGGCATGCATGCAGGAGCTGCTCAGCAAGGCAAAGCAGGGGACAAATCCTGGCCCTGGGACGTCTCTTTGCAGCACCACGTGGCATGAAATGTGTTTAGGAGTTGCCTCTGGGCAGGGACTGTGGGTAAACAAGCTGTCACACATGCTGCCACGTCCAGGGCAGGGAGCTCTCCGTAGCAGAGATGCAAAAGCGCCCGCGGAGCCGTGCTGATGCCAAGTGACACCCGTGGGGGTCCCCGCTGCAAGGACATTCCTGTCTGGATGATACTCGTACAGATTGCCCTGTGCCCCGAGGTCTGCAGCTCGCTTCTTCACGCCGCTTCTGAGTTTGGGGCTTTTTGTTTGCTTTATGTTGCCTGAGCACAGCAAATCACACTGTGGTGGGAGGCGGGAGCTGCTCTCCTGTCCTGCTCTGTGCCCCCAGCAGAAGGGAGCTGCGTGGGCTGGGAGCTTTGTGCACCCTGGTTTTGGAGAAGGAGGCTGTGTGGGTGCAGTGTGACAAAGCCCTGTCCCCTGCCACCAGCCTCTGCATGACCTGGAGGCCCTGAGCTGGATGTGGCTGCTCCAGCGCAGTGTGGGCTCTCTGCTTATAGCCCCAGCTCAGTGAAACCTTCCCCTTTGTGCTCTCTGGTTTCTCCCCATGCTCGAAGCCTTCTGCAGGGTGGCAGAGGTGTTTCATCTTTCCCGACACAAGGTGATTTTCTGCCATCAGCGCTTTTCCAGCAGCAGCCACCTGCAGCACAGCTGCTCCCGAGCAGAAAGGAGGCTGCACCCGGAGCCTGCTCTCGCTGCTGACCGTGGAGCAAATCACTCCCGTGATGGGCTTCCCACCGCGACCAAACCTTTCTGCTCTGCCTGCAACATCTTAATGAGATGTTAAGCACAGTTTATCCTTAGTGCCTTCCTGCATTAACTCTCATGCCCACTCTTAGGTGCACAGGGGGACCTGGGACAAGCCCCACTGCACCCTGCAGTGCCAGGGTCCCCTCAGGACCGGGGCAGAGCAGCTGGAGAGGGGACAAGCCCCAGTCCCACCTTCCCTGATGAATTAAATCATGGGGCTCCCTTTGCAAAGCTGCAGACACCCAGGGGAAAGGTTTTTTCCTGTCCTGAGCACTGTTGCAGCAAGGCTTTGGTGCTGCCCTGTGCCCTTTGCATCCCACCCGGTGCAGTCCCGCTGCTTATTCCCCATAGAAATGAGGGATTTCAGTTCATCACGTCTGCCCGGTGGGCAGCGAGCTGCCAAGCAAGGGAGAGGGAGCCTGCAGCAGCCAGCCGGAGAGCTGGGAGAAAGTGCTAGGTAATAGAGGTATTTATTATAGGAGGGAGGAAATTTATATGCTATTCCTGCTTCTTCAGCTCTCAGTCATTGCCAAGGGGAGAGGAGGAGTGGGCAGCTTGTGCAGGAAATAGCCAGAAGTCTGTTTTCTGCCCATTTGTCAGTCTGATGAACAAGAAAAATATAGGTGGCCTTGATAAAGGAGAAAGAGAGAGTCTGGAGGAGGCTGGCGTGTGCCTCGGTGGCCGTTCAAAGCCACGAGCAGCCCTGGGTTCATGGGGCAGCTGCTCTGCACTGTCCTCCCCCCCATGCTGGGGGCAGAAAGCTGTGAGCATGGGGCGAGAGCAGGGGCAAAGAGGGCTGCAGGAGGTGGGAGAAGGGCAGAAAGGGCTTGTGGAGGGAGCTCATGGGCTGCGGAGGGGACGGGCTGGAGGAGAGCTCTGGATAAGGATGGTGGTGGTGCCTGGAGCTGCACAAGGCTGCACATCTCCCCTCGGCGAAGCTCTGCCTGTTAGTTTATCTGAAGTGCTTGGCATCTACCAGAGAAAAGCACTAGGGAGTGAAAAACCCACCAAGTATTAAGTGCTAATAATTCCCCGCTTTTATTTGCGGTTATCCACCTACATGAAAGAGGCTGGGTTTTTGCTGACACTTTCTTGCTGGGAATTGAATGCTGCCTGAATCATCCATCCAGGGCCATTTGCTCATAAAAGTAAGGAATTGCTGTTTGAATCTTTTTATTCCTGCTAACGTGACACATGCAGCAGTGACGGATCTGGAGAGCCTTTATGCAGGCTGGGATGCCCGTGCAGGCACGTAGCAGGAACGTGGGTGCTCGTGCACCCTCCTGGGGGTGCAGATGCTGCCCAGGTCTATTTGGGCTCAGTCTCATGGAGGAGAAGCTTCTGGGACCATTTCTGGGGAAATCTGGGCCCTACCAGGCTGTACCTGCAGCTTTTCCAAGAAGCTCCTTGAAGCAGCCTGAGGGGCATCTTCTCCCCCTGGGTACCAGGGTCTGTGCATCTCCGAGCAGGGCTGGGGTGGGATTTGGACCCCCCAGCCCTGTGAATGTGACAGCACACAGGAGAGGATGGATTTTTATTATTATTATTTTTTAAATCTTGATGCTTCCAGAGCTGCTGGCTTGGCTGGACAACGAGATGCTTTTCCTTTGGCAGAGATAAATAGGTAAAGCCATACCCTCCGGCATCCTGGCTGCTGCTTCTGTGCTCAGATGTGATAAATTCATCCCGGGAGAGACCCTAAGACAGCCCGGCCCGAGGGGGCTCAGCCCGGGGCAGGATGAGTGCTGTGCACTGTGGCACCGGGCCAGGTCCTGCTCTCCAGCCCCGCAGCCTCGTGCCTGTCCCTGCCAGAGCCGAAACCTCCCTCAGCCGTGAGGATGTCTCCAAATTAGGGACGTTATTAACTACAAGCTGCTTTTCCCCCGACTGCTGCTTGCACAAACGATAACTGATTTAAAATGAATTGAGCCAATTACTGCAGTTTTTCCTAAAACAGATGATGGCAATCCTCTGGTAAGGAGGAGCAATCCCAGCTGCAGCGTGGATAAGAGTTAGACGCTGAAATGCCCTTTGGGCCTGAATTTCCAGCTGTCTCGGTTTTCTGGTCTACGTCTAGCTGCTTTTCCTCAATCGCATGTGAATTTAGGCAGCAGCAGCCAGGGGCTGCTGACTGGGCTAAGCCACCGCAGGCTGCAGAAGGTGACAGTGTCTGCTCTCTGTGCAATTATTTGCTAGGAATGAGCGATGCTGCAATGATCCTTGCTGTTCGCAAGCGAGCAGTGCCTGAAAATATTGATGTAGTTATGGAAAAGCGGAAAGAAATAACACCTGAATTATTTTTATTCAGCCTTGAGGATGGGTTGGGGGATTTGGCATGGCAGTTCCTTGGTGCTTGTGCATGGGGAGGTTCCTGTGTGGGAAAGGTGGGGTGGCCATGGGCTCCAAAAGGGTACCTCCTGCCCCAGGTTGTTTAACCAAGTGCTTATTTCCTAGCTACAACCGCCTGGTGTGCTGGTTTCATATCCTATCTGCACACAAAGTTCATCAAACTTTAAAGAACAAAAACCTGCCACTGGATGTCTTGTCCTTGCCACGCAAGGTGCTTCGGTGAAAAGGAAACCTAATGAAGATGAATTCGAGCTTAACTGTGTGCAAATGAGTTAAGGAATCTTGAAATCAGCTTCCCATTTGTCTGCCTTTCCAAAGCCTGGGAAATACTGATTTGTGCCAGTGCATCGTGTTCCCAGCAGAAAGAGCAAGGAGGGACACGGCTGCCTCCAGGACGGGGACAGGTCGGATCCTGCATTGCCTCTGCACCAGCTCAGTTTGCCACAAGCTCCAAGCCGCTGGCAGTTTGGGCTGGGGCATGCAAACACAGCAGGTCCCCAGCTTGTTGCTGTAGCTGTTGTGCTCCCCGGTTTGGCTGCAGCCCCCCACCCCAGGATTCCCTCTCCTGGGGGCACCTCCTGGGTCCCAGCCCCCAGCATAGCCCTGCTGTTGCAGCCCACCTGGAAAGCCTTTGGCATAGAGGCTGGATGAGCTGCTGCAAAATCAGTGAGTGATTAAAACCCCTTTGGGCAATGCACACAACTGTACTGTTTTATTATATTGCCATCTGAGCAGTAAAAATACACAGATAAACACATCTAAACCAATCTGAAACATGGGGTCAGGAATCTGGGCTCCTGCTGCTCCTCCTTTTAATCTCCTCTTAAGTGATATATCTTCTGATTGCTTTTGTCAGCTCTTTAAATTTAATAACTGAAATAACCATCTTTTCCTATTGTTCACTTATTTATAAGTGCAGGATCAATAAAGAATATCTTTAAAAGCCCCTGGATTTGAAAAATGAGGGGTGCATGGCCTGGAAGGCAGCTGTGAGGAAATTATGACTTTGCACTTCCAACAGTGTTCAAAATAAGGTGGGAGAAGAAAAAAAGGAAAGCTCCCTTCAGTGAGATGCTTTCAGTAACCAAAAAACCAGAATCGATGAGGCTTTAATTTGTAGTCACAGATTGCCTGGTTGCTGCACTTCTGCCCTGTCCCTGCATGGGCCAAATTGTGTGGTTTTGGGGAAAGTGGGGCTGCTGCTTTGCTGCCTGGAGTTCTTGCAGGGGGGTGCTAAAGGGGAGGTGAGCGTCATTAACCACTGCTGCGGGGCTGCTCTCCTGGGGTGGGTTTATCCATTTATTCCCATCTTCAGCCTCTTCCCTGAGGGAAGCAGCTCCTCCTTTGCCTCGTGGATGATCGCAGGCTGCCTGCACCTCTGAGCACGTCGCCAGCACTGCTCGTGCAACCCGTGCAGGCGGCACCCACCTCGAGAAGGCTCCTTGCACTGGGATGGATGCAGCAAGGAGGTAAAACTATTCTAAAACAGGAATTCCCTCTGAGAAGCATCCCTGAGACTGCAGGGGCAGGCCAGGTGCTTGTGACCTCTGCTGGCTTTACAGATTTAAAAAAAAACAAAAAACAAAAAACAAAACTTTTTGCAAAGGTTTTGCACATCTGGTGAGGCAGCTGGCTGGGGGTGGCCAGAAGGGATTGCTGCAAGCATCTGCTGCTGCCTGGCCAGCTGCAGCATCACGAGCAGAGACAGCGCAGGGCTGGGGCACTCTGCTCATTCCCTCTCCTGCAAAGCCCCCAGCCCACCTCCGAGGGGGTCCCTGGCCCCGTGGGCTGCTGCTCTCTCCCTCCAGGGCCTGCTGCAATGCTGTTGGTTCTGCTGGCATCGCTGCATCGCAGCAAAAGCCAAGCAGCCTTTGTAACTGCAATATTGTACAGGAAGAAAAAAGAGAGAGGGGTCTGCAGCTTAGCACAGTGCTGTGTTTTGGGGGGGGAAGGGGAGAGGAGGGTTATGGAGGGCTGCGTTCTCACAATATATTGCACTTAAAAGTCCATGGGGTGGGATAAGCGATGCCAATGGGGCTTCTTTGCTTCCTTTGTACACCGTGTGTTCAGGCACCTGCTGTAAAACAGCCCCGGTGCTTCCACTCCTCCGCTTCAAAGAACAGAAGGAAAAGGGCTCGGTGCTCTGGCAGTGAAGGGAAGGAGGCTCCTGAGACCCGGGGAGAGGGGAGGATGAGCCATGAATTATTCAGCGTGGCTGTCGGTGTGAGAGCAGAACTGAGACCCGCTCCGGCAGTGACCCCAGCATCGGGCTCTGGCCAGGAGCCCTGAATTTGGGCGATGCGGGCTCAGTCCTGCTGGGAGCAGAGGCACGAGGGAGCCCGGGGAGCTGGGGCTGGGGGTTTCTGTCCCTGCATCCCTGCCCTGGGGGCAAACCTGGGGGCAAAGCTTCCCATCGGCTTTGGTTGCTTTGGCCCAAAAGAGGAGGAAAAATGGCTGAGAAGGGGCACGTGTGTGCTGAAAGGAGGGGGGTGGCTGCAGGTGAGAGCCCCAGAAGTGAACGTGGCTGGGATCGCCCTCCAGCCGGCTCGGTAACAAATTCCCTGACACAGGGAACAATTTTTCCCTGACTCTGCCAGTTCCTTAACACTGCCGACTCTAAGGGCCCCGTGGGGAGGGGAACTTTCTGCAAAAAGCTCTCTGCTGCAGCTTTATTTAAGGCTGTGTGGTGGACGCCGAGATATTAAAGGCCAAAAAAAAGCCACTGTAATGGATGGTGCTAGGCTGGGCAGCGAGCACCTCTGCCCCTGTGGCCATGATACAACAGCCACAGCAGCTGCCCCGTGCCTTTTCCCCGTCTCTTTTTGCTCCTAACCCCTTTTGGTGCTTCAGCTCACTGGGGACAGTCACCGGTCTCACCTCTGTGACCTGTGCTTGATAATTCCCAGGTCCCCTTTTCCTGGCTTTTGAGGCAGCCCTGGGCTGGTCCCTACCAGCAGCGTGGTGTTTTCTCAGCTGGACATCAGCGTCTTGTTGACATGGCCCAAGAGAAAGGAAAAGGACTGAGCATCTTTATTTTTCTCTGTGCTGCTTCTGTTTATTTCTTACTTTTTAATCCCTACTTCTCATCTGTAGAAGTCCTTGTGCTGACACGATGTTATTTATTTATAAAATATGTACAGGAAAGTGCTTGGGTACTGGTCCCACCCTCCAAGGCTGGCCGTGCTCGTCCAGCCAGCAGGAGCGAAGGTGAAAGACGATTTCTGTGCCTTGGAGCTGGGAGAAGGAGGAGAAGGAAAGGGCTGAGAAAGATAGAGACTTCAAAGTATGTGAGCAAATATTTACAGGTTCCAAGACACACACACAAAAAAAATATATCTACAGTGTTGTCTTGGGGATACAGGGAGTCAGGCTTGAAGTAGAGCCTGCTCACAGCTCCATTTGTTATATTGATTTATAAAGACTACGGGTATTGATTTCTGCTGGCTGTGCTGTCAGCAGGGTGCGCAGCCCCAGCGAGACCCAGGCTCGGGTGCTGGCAAGGGGCAGCCGAGACCGCTCCAGCCACGGATTCGTGCTGCTGGGGATTTTGCGGCAGTGCTGTCTGTGTTTATGCTTAGTTTTTTTTTTGCAAATGAGGGCTGAATGCTTCTGAGGCACTCCCTTGAGCACCAGGGAGCGGAGGATGCTAGCAGGGAGCGTGTTTCTGAGCGGATGGGAGGCAAATATTCTACTTCAGGGTTTCCCACTGGCTGCTGCTGTTTTAACGTGATGTGAACCAAGCTGAGGTCTTTGCTGGCACTTGGGGCAAGTAGGGAGCATCCCCAAAACCTGACCAGCTCCTGGGAGCTGGGGATGGGATGGGATGTGGATTTTGGTGCCTGCAGAGGTGCTACAGAGGCTGCAGAGCATGGGATGGAAATGGTGCTGTGGATCTGCTTGTGAAGCCACAGCGAGAGAAGCATCCACCCTCCTTGCTGCCACCCTGCAGCTCTGCACGAGCACGTGGAGGCCATGAGGAAAGGTTTTGCATGCAAATCCTGGGGCAAGAGATGCTTTAAAGCAGATTTCCCTCCTGGACCAGTAGGTGCCATGAAAGGACACCCCCCTACCCCAAACAGCCTGGAGCTTGCTCTTTCCCCCGTGCTGTTGCACCCCAGCTCTGGTTGCAGACTGGCTGCCCAGTATGGGATTAGCACAGCATCAATGTGCAGGGGGCGAGGTGCCCCAGGGCTGGTGTTTGCAGGGGGCAGGATGCTGCTTGCACCTGGGGGTGCCCTGGTGCTGGACTGCAGCATTGTGGAAGGGCTCAGCGTGCCAGGTTGGTACCCATGGGGACGAGGGGAAGCCGTGGCAGTGTGCGCAAGGCTGCTTTGCCAGGCAGGAGCGCAGGATGGCAGGAGGGGGCTGCTGGTGTGCAAGGGAGTGACTGTGTGGGATCAGGTTGTGGGTGTGAGGGTGTCTGTCTTGGTCCCCGAGCTCGGTGGTCACCCCAGTTCAAACTGTCCATGGTCTATGCAGGTGAAACTTGGCTGGAGGAGACGGAGGAGACCTCGGTCTTGCTCTGGGATACAGCAGAGGAGACATCTTCGTCCCCAAAGGGGTTCTTGCCGCAGCAGATCGTGGTGATCATGCAGTTACGGAACTGAAGGGGGGAGACAAAAGGAGAACAATGGCACCCGAGGGCAGCAGAGGTGAGCTGTGAGACTGAGAGCCCTGAGCTTGCTGCTCCCCTGGGCTGAGATGCAACTGGGGAGGACCAAGGTGCCCACGGTGACACTGGGCATAATGGGAAGCCCCACGCAGGGGAGAAGCCGTGCCCTGGGACGTCTCACCTGCTTGTTCATGAGGACGTAGATGATGGGGTTGTAGAGGGAGGAGCTCTTGGAGAAGAAGGCAGGCACTGACATGAGCGTGGCAGTGAAGTCTGCTCCCTTGTTGGTGAAGATCCAGAACGCCACCACGGCGTAGGGCGTCCAGGCCAGCATGAAGCCCAGCACCATCAGGATCACCATCCGCGTCACCTCCTTCTCTGCCTTCTGCGTGGTGGCCGACTCCTGCTGCTGCGCGGCTGCCTGCGGGTGGGGGGCAGTGAGGGGCAGCCCCCAACTTTCCCCCTCCTCAACATCACCTCCCCGTGCTGCCCACCCGGTGCCCATTCACCCCTCCGCGTGCCCCCACCCCGGCTGTTACCTCTCGGACTTTGCAAATGAGGCGCCCGTAGGAGAAGAAAATGACCACGACCGGGATGATGAAGTGGATGATGAACATGTAGAGGACGTAGGACTCGTTGTGGTAGTCGGGGTTGTGGGTGTAGTAGTCGGGGACCGCAGGAGCACTGCATCCCCTCGGGCATGTATCTGCCAGCGAGAAAGGTTAGGACCATCACCAGGACCCTCCCTGGGACAACAGGAGGGGTTCAACCTGGGGACTGGATTCCCCAAGGAAGGGGGGATGCTCCCAGAGTGGCATGTATCTGAGGGGAGCTGCTCCCCAGCTTCTTCTCTGCACCCTGTGCCCCTGGCCTGGCTGGCTGTGCAGCACAGCTCCTGTGGGACCTGCAGCCTGCAGCACCGCTCACACCGTGCCGACACGTTGCGCTCGGGTGCAGAGCATCATTTTGTTGTGACACTGCTTCCTCCCACGGGCAGCGGGCTATTTATCTCCTTCCTACGTGGCTGAGCACTTGCCTGCCAGGAGCCACCTGCTCTCTCCCTCTGCAGATGGAGGGAAGCTGAGCGGGAACGAGAGCTGCTGGCTCGGTGGGTCTGAGCTCTGGAGGGCTTGGTCCTTGCAGCTGTGTCGGGCAATGGGATGCACAGCTCACATCCTGGGTGCAAGACAGGTCAGGCTGGGTGGGAAGCCAAGGACCTGCCTGGCCCTGAATCTTTATCCAAAGCCAGAGAGGAGCTGTGTGCCCATGCTGTGTTTTAGGGGGATGATGGAGGGACTTTGTTGCTCCAAAGCCACCTCCTGCCTGTGCCCAAAGAGGTGATAGGGGCTTGTTATGACCTGGGGGTGGCAGCTAGGGTTGGAGCTGCAGCTCTAGGGAAATCACCTCTGTCTCACTCCTCCCTTTCACTCCTCGATGTTCTGGGTGGGCTTCAGCTGATGCATCAGCTCCTGGCAGGGGCTGTGGGTGCGTGCAAGAGCCAGGACTGAAATTCACTGCAGTGCTGGGAGCAGAACAGATGGGTTTTGCAGGAGAGCATGGCAGGGATGCTGGTAAAGGTGCTGCAGGGCTCCCAGCAGCCACACTACAGCAGCAGCACATGAGCAAGGCCACGCTTGCTCCCCAGAGCAACCTTGTCTGTGGAGCTGGTTGCTCAAACACCCTTTATGATCTGCAGAGAGAAATGGGACCTTCACGGCACAGGTGGGACAAGCCATGCCTAGCAAAGCCATTCTTTCCCTGCGGGGTGTAAAGGGCAATTGCAGCTGGAGATGCCGAGCATCCCCCGACTCACCTGGACCAGCCGAAGAGGGGAGGTGCAGCACAGGAGAAGGCCATTATCCAGGTGAAAGCGATGCCCATCATGGCGTGGGTCGCGGAGAAGCGGAAATTTCCCATGGGCTTGCAGACGACGATGTAGCGTTCGATGGCCAGGACCACCAGGGACCACAGGGCAACCTGGCCTGCGGGAGGGAGGGAGGAAGGGAAGGAGGGCGTGCGGTGGTGGTGAGAGCTCCTCTGGGCTTGTGCTTCCCTTCGTGGGCACAGCGAAGAGCAGCGGGGATGGAGGGGTGGGGGATCAGCAAGGGATAACCTGCATCCCATGCAGCAGCTGAGAACCTCGCTCAGACATGTAAACGCTCTGGGAGCTGAGGGAGCATCTGCATTGTGCTGGGATGCTGGTGATGGAGGAGGGGATTGTTGTGTTTTTTCATCATTTAAAAAAAAAACAAAAACAAACAAACAGAGAGTAAGGGTGCAAGGAAGCATAGTTTCCGGCAACAATGCCAGATGCATTCAGACCTGTTGATGCCTTTAAATGTGTGTTTCAGGAGTCTTCTGCCAGTGCTGGATCAGGGGGAGGCATGCGGGGGAGGCTGTGTGGGTGAGCGTGCATGCACATGTATTTATAAGGGATAATTAAACTTCAGGGGATTGGGAGCGTTTAGTCGGTGCTGTAAGCCTGCTAATGCCCCCAGCTGTGATAATCTGCTGATAACTACACCCTGTGCTAGGATTCACTGGAGACCTGCTGCTCAGTGACTGCTTCCCATCCAACTTTCTTCCCTGTGCTCAGGAGCCACTGCTTGCTTTAGTAGATAGGAAACCTGGAAGGGCGAATGATGTTGCTGGAAAACCCCTAGGCTCACTCAATTGGAAACGGTGCAGACCCACGGGGTCTTCCGATCCTAAGCCATTCCCTGGTCTGTGGCTTGGATCAGGATGCTTAGCTTTGTTTTTGCCTAGCAGAAGATCCTTCTTTTGTTGAGATCCACATCGTTGCAGGAAATACCCTGCTTAGGGGGAAAAATTAAAGTCTTTGCAGTGGTTGTGAGTGTCTGCAGCAAGGATTAGCGGCTGCCAGATAAATCGCAAAATGTAGTGTGGGCCTGGTTGGCTGCGGGGGTTTGGGTGTAAAATGGATTTTCCCTGTTCTGCAGGGGGGCTTTCTGCAGGGTGAAGCATTAGCAGTGCTTGCATCCCTGAGAAATGGAATAAGGAAGCTCCCAAAGGCATCCAAACTGGGTGCAACTGGGGACAGAGCTGAGCAGTTGCTGCAAAGTCTGGAATCCTCCTTCCCCTCCGTGTTGCTGCTCTTCTCTTCTGGTTAAGAGCTGCCACAGCTCCCTTTTGCTCCAGGATGAGCTGTGGACCCCTCTCCTCATCTTGCTCTCCTCCTCTCCATGCCCATGCCCCTTCTGCAGGTTCCCTCTCCTTTCCTGGGATGTCTCTTCCTGTCTCTGAACCCTCCCAAATGCTTCACCTTGTTCCAAAAAGGGAAGCCTTTTGGTAAAGATGTTTGGCACTGACTCAAGGACACCGCATCTACATCCCCAGCGGGTCTTTGCTAGTTGCATGACCTTGATGCGAGACCCCTGAATGCGCCCTGGGCAGCTTGGCCAAATGACCCCAGGCCTGATCCTGCAAACCAGGATCCCTTCCCAGGCCTGCTCGTTTCCTTGCCCTGCTAGTGGTGAGGTGGCTGCATCTTGGCATCAAGATCAAACTTGCCTAAATCTCTTTTCATCCCCATCTTCAAGCCGCAGGGAAGAAGCATCTTGCATGAGGAGCCCCATGCTGGTGGGACCATCCCAACAGCACCACAAAGGCATGGAGCTGGGCTCCTAAAGCCCTGAAGAAGCAAAATCACCCGCTGCCAAGCCTGGCCTCAGACCCAGGCTCCCACCCCGCAGCCCTTACCTCCCAGCGTGGCGAAGAAGCCCTCCACGGCACAGCCAACGGGGCCGAAGACGAAGTATCCGTTCCAGGCCGTGTAGAAGGTGACCGTGAAGCCAAAACAGGCCATGAAGAGGTCAGCCACCGCCAGGTTGACCAGGATGTAGTTGAGCGGCTGCCGGAGCTTCTTGTGTTTGAAGGTGACCAGGAGGGTGAGGAGGTTGATGGGCAGGCCGGTGGAGATGAGGAAGAAGATGTAGCAGCACACAAGGCGGTATTTCCAGGGCTCGGCTAGGTAATACTGGGGGTACTCGAAGGGGCTTCGCACCACCCCTGTCTTGTTGGACATAGGCACGTAAAAATTGATACCTTCCGTCCCGTTCATCCTGCCAGTATTATGGCAGCTGCTGTGCTTTTAAGGGTACTTTTAAAGCAAATGTTCTTTTTTTTCTTTTTTTAATTAATTTTGTTTCAACCCTGATTACAAAAAAAAAAGGGGGGGGGGGGGAGCCCCAACCCAGTGTTTAAAAAATAAAAAATAAATAAAAGACCCCTCCCCTCACTCCAAAACTGAATTAAGTGCTAAGAACAACAGTAAATCCCAAGGGAAGGAGAGGTGGTGCGCTGGCCCCGCACCACATCGAGGGCTGGCGGTGCCGAGGGAGGTTTTATACCCTTGGTCTTCCTTGAGGGAGCGCGGGGGGAGGCCGGATTAGGGGCTAGGCTAAGTTTGTATGACAAGGGCAACGGGATTGAGAGGGGCTGATGGTTTAAGAACCCTCTAAGCAGCCAGTTGGCCCCAAAACCTGCATTAAAGCGTATTAATTTCCATTAAGTGTTTAATATTGTTTAAGGAGTTGGGGGGAGGAAGGGAAGGGCTTGGGGAGCCCTTTGGAAGAGGGGTGAAGGCAGGAGAAGAGATGGTGAGTTGGGGAGATGTTTCTTTGGGTGACCAATGGGGGAAATGGGTCTGTGTTTGAGTCTATGGTGGACCATAGCCTTTGGGGGGTCCCTGGGTGGTTGAAGGACTCCATCGGAGCCTTGGGGGCCCAAGGGGTGCCCAGCCCTGCTCTGCCATCCTCAGGCAGGTCACTGGGAGAGCAGCAGACAGAGTTTGGCCGTGCTGTGCTTCCCGTGCCTGGTTCAACGTGGGCACTGCATGTTTTGGGCCCTTGTCCCTGTCACAGGGCAAAACCAGGTTCTGCTGATGTGGGTCAGGGCCACCTGCATGCATGGCACTGAGCAAAGGCAGGAGGGGAAGCTGCTTCCATCCCAAAGGCTGCAAGTTTGGTAAAAAGAGCATTTGGGGGGCAGGTTGGCTGTGTTGCATCCTGGCTGTGCTAGAGTGAAAAGAGCTAAATTTCCTCCTCTGTCTTGCCTCCTCTCCTGGCTGGAGGATATATTTTGTTCGGTTGACCCTCCAAGGACCTTCGGTAGGAGTACACCATCCAGTAGTCTCCCATCCGTGCCTCCTCCCAGTCCCAGAGAGCTGGACACCACTCTGGGTTGGGGCTTTGCAAGGATTGGCAGGGCTTAGGGAGGATCCCTGGCCACAGCTCTGAAACCAGCCTGACGGTGCTGCTGTTTGCTGGAGAAGCAGAACCTCAGCTCCCTGGGGGGGGGAAGGGAAACTTTGGTGATGCTGTCATCTCCAGTTCCCTCCAGAGATGGTGCAGAGAGACCAGCACCAGCCTGTAGCCACACTGGGATGGAAGTTCCTGGTCTCTTGGTGCTCATCTTAAGGTGTGGGACCTCTATCCCAGTGCATGCAAGATTGTGAAACCCTTCTCAGCAGCATCAGCACTACCTTGGAGCACCAGAGCTCCATCCTGGCCAAGCTCTTCCTTCTGGGTCAGGGGTACTCCTTCTCCAAGAGACCTGCCTAAGGCGCCTTAGCGAAGCTCTTCCATTAATCTCTGACATCTGGTGGCGTTAATGGCCCTGATCTGTTAATGCCGTAAGCTGCTAGCCTCTTTCCCACAGCTGCCCTCCACCAAGGCAAGGTGGATGGAAAAACTCAATGCTGTCCTGCTGGAGGAATGAGGTCTCCTGCTATTCTGCAGCCTCTCGGAGCTAGAGGGCAGGAGCGGAAGGCTAAGGGGTGTGGGTGGGATGAATGATGTCCTAATCGCTGGCCCACTGATCCATCTGCACAGGTCTGAAAGGAGCAGAAGTAGGACATGGCAAGAGTAAGTGGGTCACAGCAGCCTCAGGTGCCCTGGGATGAGCAATCCCCACTGGGACTGTCCGTGCCTCTCAGAGCGATCTCCCTGCATGTCCTGGGGAACCACCGGGCGTGGAGTTCCCAGCCGAGATCTTTTCAAGACTTTCCACAAGGTTTTCCTTGAGGAGAAGACTTCTATGGGCAGAACTCCCTTGGCCCTACATCTCAAAACTTTCCCCAGAGCTGTTTCATGCCTTTCCTGTCCATAGTCAGGCTTCTGGATGTACAAAAGCTAAGCGTGTTTTTGCAGAATTAGTTGAGTACTAAAAGAGAAAGTTAATACACAGAAAGAGGCATGTGCAGATGTGCTTCTCAATTCCACTGTGGAATCTTTCATGGTGCAAGACAACTCCTTTCACCTAAAAGATATCACTACGCCTGTCCACCTTCATAAGACTTGGACCTTGCTGCCAGTGCCAGCAGCATCTGAAAGCTCTGGTGTTTCTCCAGGGCTTTGCACAGAAACGTGGTTATCTCCATGGACTGCGACTTTTCACTTCCTGATATTTCTTTCCATGAGACTTTGTGGTGTCTCATCTTCTCCTAAAGAGTAAAAAAAGTTGTACAAATGAAGCATATTTGAGGGGGGAGGAGGCAAAATGGAAGCCTGTTTTGGATGGTGCACCAAGTTTGGGGGAAAAGGTCCAGAGGTGTTGGTTATTTTTTTGGGGGATCAGTGCAGATCCTCTCCTCTCCCTGTTCCAGCTAACACACGGCACAACTTGGGCTTCATGCTTGGCACCCAGCAGCCTTTCATACACAGGATTACCAACACCTGGGCCAAGAGGACTCTCACATCATCTTGGACTAGGTCTGGACCTGCCCCTTTCCCATTTTGGGGACCTGAACGTGGAGCAGGTAAGCCTGAGTCCCCTGTGTTACACTAATGGGGCTGAACACGGCGCTGTCCCTTCCCAGCTGTCCTCGTGGACTCAGCTTCCCCCCCTGGCAGGCTGAGGGCAGCATTTTGGTCGATATCCCAAGGCTGCTGTTGGCATGGATTTAGAGCTCTCCGCAGGTCAGCGGCAGCCGGAGCAATGCCGAAGGCCTCGAATCAACTCTGCAGAAGAAAACGACACCAGGGAGGTTAGCTGGTTCCTCCAGGATGTGCCCTGAATGCAACCTCTCTTCCCTCTGTGTCCCTGTCACAGAAATGGAAAGTGATGGCTTTAATTTGGCGTCTCTTAGCGGGGAAACTTTACGGACTGTCTCCCAGAGAGCTCTCAATTGCTTTCTGTGCTGACTCCATGGCAAAGAAAGCAATAGCAAAATTCAGGCCCTGTTTAATGCAAGAAGAGAAGCTTGCTTCCTTTGTGTTTGTCCTTAGGAGAAGGAAGGTTTTTCTTCCCTCACACAGGCTTTTCTGCTTTGCTAAGCTCTTTGAGATGAGATTGTCTCTTATTCATTGTTTGTCAGCACATTGCGTGAAGGAGCCCTGAGCTTCTCCAGGCTTTCATGTCCTGTGTAAAGCAAGAAACGATAATTATAATCAAATAACCAAGCTGATACGGTTGGTTTCTGGGATTTCAGTGGCAAGCAGAGCGAGCCATGCAGCCGTGTTGGGGGTGGCTTTCCGTGGGGGTGGCAGCCGGGAGCCCTTTGCTGTCCCCGTCCCTGCCCCCGTGCAAGGAGCATGGCCGCTTGGACAAATACGAAGGAGCGACTTGCCCAAGGGCACACAGGAAATAAGCTGCAGAGAAATGCAAAAGTAATAGAAATCACTCCTGAGGCAAATGTCTGAGCTTAAATTCTGGTGATGGCCTCATGTACAGGACCTTAAACCTCAGCCACGAGCACCAGGCACCAACACTGAATGCAAAGTGATGCTGAGCTTGCTTGTGTGCTCTTGGCAGGTTCTGCAACACGCTGCTTTGAATATACCTGCTGGAGGGGCTCATTCCTCCCTCCTGGGCAGGAGGAGAGGGAAGCACAAATATCACGGTGCCTCCCGGTCCTCCAGCTGCCCTGGGAAGACCTCGCCTCCCCGTATCAGATAGCAGCCACGCGCGGCCACTGCGCTGAGCCGCTTATGCTGGGCTTGTGAGCTCCCTCGCCAGGAAAGGGGTTAAAGCAAGATAAAGCTGGAGCGTTATGGAGACCATATGGAGGGGAAGAAAACCCTTTATCCTGTAATTGGATTCGTTCCCAGCGGCTCCCGGCGGAGGTGAGGCTGAGTGGAGCTGACAGGACGTGATGGGTGAGGCGCTGCCAGCCGCCCCGTCCAAAGCAGGATGTGTGTGCACAAACTTGTGGATCAATCCGTTAGAGTGGATCAAATAGATTTAAATGCGTGGCAGGGAGAAGGAGGACACAGATGTATTTGCAGTTTGGTTTGGTTGGCTGCTCCTTGCTCAGCGTGGATTAACTCGGCTGTGGCTGGTGGGGCTGGCTGCTCACGGCTCTGCTGGGCTCGCACAGCTGCGTCCACCCAGGACAAGGAGCTGGTGGTGCAGAGAGGCTCTTTATGCCATGCCCTTGCTTCTTTCCCCAAAAATTAGAGTTCACACAAGTCTATCTCCTGCTTTGCTTACTGCATGCATGAGCTTTGGGCAGGAGGACCCCCAGGTCCTGCTTTCCCTGCAGGTTCCCCTTCACTCCCTCCTGGGGCTCTCCCCACCAGTGCAGCTTTGCAGGGGGTGGATGCACCAGAGCCAGAAGGCAGCTGGGAAGTGGGAGAGCTTCGCTGCTGCCAACCACATCTCATGTGCAAGCAAACAGGACCCTGCCACCTCCCTGGCATTTCCTCCTGCCACTGATCTAGGTAACATCTCTGCAAGCACCCTAGGATTTCCTTGGAGGGACGGAAAGTCCCTGGGACCTGTCATTTTCCTGCCGGCGAGCTGAGCAATCCCGGTTCAGCTGCAGACCTGCACCACTCAGCGTGGTGCTGTCAGCACCTTTAACTAAGTGATAAACCAGAGCTTTGCAGCGGTTTGCAAGACAGTCTCACCAGCCACGTAGCACCGGGACCAGCAGGCAGCACAGCCCAGCAAACCAAAGCATCACGACCACTTCTCCCTGTATGTTAGCAGCTGCGTAATGGCACAAACCAAACTCTGACGAGGGAAAGCAGAAAGATGCTGCCTGCTCCTGTGAGTTCTTTGTCTTGCAAACTGGAAAAAAAAATAAAAATTAAAAAGATAATAATAAATTAATCCTGGTTGGATTTTGTTCTGTTTTAGGGGCTCTTTGAGGCAGGTGGGAGTTAAGGGGTGTTTACAAGGAGAGCTGGGAGCTCGGGATCTCTGTCCAGCTCTTCTCTCCCAGCTCTGCTTTGCCCATCCAGGAGCAGACACGTAACTGCGATGCCTGAGAGGCAAAAGGAAAGATTTTTCATTGAATGCTGAAGGGATGCAAAAGAGCAGCCTTTGTTCTGCAGTGCTCGGTATCACTTGCCGTGGCCTGGCTTTGAGAATGGCTGAGCAGTCAGATAACGGGGTTTAGGCAAACAGAAATAATCTTTTATTTTTAATTTGTAAATCTCATTTGAAGTTGAACTGTTATTCCTCAGGGCCTTATTGTGGATGTTTGTAGCCCTCTGTAGAGATGCTTCATACATGCTGTTTCATTTTGTCATAACTGGGTCATTTTTTTTTCATTTCCAGTGCATAGCCCTTGGTTTTCTCTGTGGAGACTGCTGCGAGTTGGCCAGCCGGGATGTAATCTTTTGGGAAAATCGTGGAGGAAATCTGGAGGTGGGTTGCTTGTTTTCTGCTTTCAGAGGAGCTGCTTCTGGTACCTGGAGGTAACGCCTCTGTGCTCCAAAATCCCTATGGGACCATGGACAGCCAAAACTGGTGCATCAGCTCCCAGCAAAGACGCTTTGGGTCTCCCACCAGAACAACCATATTCTGTACCTTATTGCCCTATTTTGAGGCTGCTGTTCCTCTTGACTGGAGTCGAGGCTGCGCATCCTTCACTGGAATTGATTTTGTCTTTTTCTTGTTGTCCCTGCTTTAAAGCCTTGCAGGGATTTGCTCCAGACCAAATGTGTCCCTTCTCTCCCTTTGCCCTTCATCCCATAATTGGATTCATTTATTCCGTCCAGCCCACCCTGGCATTCCCCATCCCTTTACGTAACGGCACCTCTCTGGGCTGTGCCTGGCCGACCTAAGCCTGGCGCTTTGCTTGACCTCCAGCCACTGAAACCAGCAGAGGGTTTGCACCAATTCCTGTTGCAGGCTGAATCCCGTGTTGGTACAGCGACCCTTTTCTTTTGCACTTCCTTTTCCCTTCCCATTTACTTCATCTTTTTCCTTTCCATGTGCATTTTGTGGTCTCGTGCCACTGTTGCATCTCCGTGCTCTCACCAGGGCTGGGCTCTGCATGAACCCTGGGCACGTGCTCCTGCCCCACATGGCGTGAGCAAAGAGGGAAATGCAGCAGCCCAAGTAATGGAAGGATCACCTGGAAAAAATGATTAATTTCTCACTCCTTGCATTAATATTTATTCTCCTTAATTCTTGGTCTTTACTGCTTTAGCTCTCTAAAGCTTTTGTGGTTGAGAGGCTTTCACTGAGGTTGCTATTCATCACCTAAGCAAAACATCCCTGGATTAAGCAGGCATTTTATCAAATTTGTGTCCTGTGCTGGAACCAGATTTGCCTGGATGGACGCGCCTGTCTCTGCAGATCTTTCTGCTGTTGTCTGACACCTGCAGCTGGTGTTCCCATGTCCCGGCTGGGATATTTCCCTAATCACCCATTTGGTTGTTGGAGTCTCACCGCCCATGCTCATTAACTTGCCACGTGCATGGTCTCTTTTTCACCCTGAAGACATCTGACCCCGTTTCCTTGCTGCCTCGCAGACTGAATTGGTGTCTTGAAAGTCTGAAAGGAGATAAAGCGGCAGCAAACTCTTCTCCCCTGCTGCAGATAAACTGCTATTAAATGCTGAGGGTTTCTGGAATGAAAAGGGTGACTCTCCATTGAAAGCGCTGATAAATCCTGGGCATCCAGCATAATCCGGCCCGCTGTATCAGGAGATCTCGTGGGAGCTGGCAGCATTGAGAACAGCGATGTCTTTTTGTGCTGCAGTTCTCCCATGGACAGATAATCCCCGTGGCCAACAGCAGCAAAGGCTGGGGGCTGGATCTTGAACACTCTTACTTCAGTTTTTATTCCCCTTCCCTTCTCAGGAAAACCACTGCTGCCTTCTGCAGGAAGGCAGGCTGTACCTGCAAACCTCGCCTGCAAAGGGGACTGTGGGGCTGCATTTTGCATCCCGCCTGTGAGCAAGAATATCATACATCACCTTCCTGCTGATTTGGCAGCGCAAGCAGCCCTGCAAAGCAGCGATTTAATGCACTTCTTGGTGCCTTAGTGTTTCGTCTTGCTATGCTTAACCTGATATATTGTTGTTTGATGCAGGAACAGTAGGGGGTGTAAAGAGAGGTAATACGAAAATAAAAGGTCAATGGGTGCCTGGTGTGTGTAAAGGCTAAATTGCTCTTTCATCAAATCTAATAAATATTCCCTGTGAGGTGGGAAGGGAGCTCCTTTCCTGAAGGATTCCTAAGTGATTGCCCTGCCTCCAGTGCCTCAGCCCAGGGCTGGGGGTGCTGGAGGCACGAAGGGGCTCCCAGATCTTGCTGAGCCCTGGGGCAAAAGGGACAGCCCTGGGGCAAAGGGACAGCAGCGACTGATGAGGGACAAGGCAACCTCAACCCCTCACAACGTGTGAGACTGCATTTTCCACTGTTCATAAAAATATTCCTGAGCCTTCTAGTGCAAAACTGGTGTTTTGATTTGAACACCAAAATGGAAACAGATGAGCTGTATCCCATCTTGTTTTCTCACCTCCCCTCCTTTCTCTCTTCACTTGTTCCAGACTGGGTGGAGAATGGCAAAGGAGTGACCAAAAATGAAGAAAAACAAAGGAAGGAATCGATTGTCTTTTTTTTTTTTTTTTTTTAGTTCAGTTGAGAAACCATAACATTTTTATAAGCATAGAAACCATTTTTGTGTGTGTGTGTGTGTGTTTTTGTTTTTTTTTTTTTTTGTTGTTTTTTTTAGAGGAAATGTAATGATTAGGAAATGGGGTCCTTTGACTGGTGACTGTCTCTTCTGCCTCTGGTGAAGAACCTAAATCTTTCTAGGCTGTAGCCAGATGGATGTGCTGTCCTCTCTCTTTCATTTGTATGTCCTTTGCAGACCTGAAGAAACTGAGGCAGCAGGCAGAATTTCCAGGTGTCCTCGCTTCTGGGGTATCTGCTCTAGGTGACCTTAAGCTCGGTTTCTAGAAAGACTTTGGAGTTACAAGGTGTAGCACTGACACATCAGCTTTTAATGGCTGCTGGAGGCTCTCAAAGGTGTGCTGAGTGCTCAGAGGAGCTCAGTGAGGTGCTGGGATGTAAATCGAGGCCATCCTGATGGAGATGGCTCTGCTGTGAAGGCATCTGGACGTGTTGGTGTTGAGGAGCTACAGAGCTGTGTGCTTGCAGGTACAAATGAGTTTGTCACCTCTGGAAGGTGGTGGTGGGATGTTCCTTGTGCTCTGCTGCACATCCAGAGCCGCCTCCTCCTTCCCCATGTCCTGTACCTCTTCCACAGCTCCCAGCTCCTCAGCACCAGGAACCAGGCAGTGGAGTGGGTGGAGAGAGGAACAACACAAGGCAAATTCCCCATTAATCCAAAAGATCATTATCAGCTGCCAGAACCAGGAGGGCGAGCTGTTTTGGGGAGTCAGCAGGAGTTAAATCCTTGCTATTGATTCTTTCCCGGCCCGGCTGCACGGCTGAGCATTACCATGAATTACACTGCCGAGCAGCGGGGAGAAATGGAAGTGGGTGCAAAGCAAGCGCGGGGATAGGAGGGGGATGCCTGCGTGATTAAAATATTTATGATGCAAATTAACATGTGTTTTAAGCCCGTGATTCTTCAAATATTTATCTAGCATTAATATTTTGAAAACTGCATTAAAATTTGCCACCGGTGCTTTATTCATTAGGAGAGTTCAGCAGCCACAGACAGCAGTGCCTGCTAAATCTGTAACACGTCCATGCAGAGACAGCAGCTGGAGGATGGTGCCTGGGCTGTGAGAAGGAGCTTTCTGCTCCCACTTCCAGAGCAGGAGCCTAAAATGAATTCCTTACCCACGTTGACTTCAGCTGTGACTGCAGACATTAAATTCAGCAGTTCACGCGCCGGGCTTCTTGACCCATCTGACTCCAAGTAAAAACACTGTAATGTGAGGGAGGTGAGATTGATACTCCTGTAGGAATCAGGAAGGGGAATTAGGGGCTGAGGGTTGTGAACTTGCCTAAACCTGATGGCTACTGTGGGTCTGATGGAGCTGTGAGAGCAAACTGAACTCCTCCAAGCACAAAGGCAAGGTTTTCCATCTTGTATGTGCTGGCCCCATTCAAGGAGATTTTTGGACAAGGGGGAAAAAGAGCGTGACCTGCTGTGCTGTGGCTCTGACAGCCCCAAATTACAGCCTTTGGGGCACACAAATTCCCAACCACGCACCAGGCAGAGCAGCAGCAAGGCTCCAGCCATTTGTTCTTTCCCCCTTTGCTCTCTATGTGCTGCCTTAGCCTGGGGCCGAAGCTCAGCTTCAGACCAGCGCTGGCTTCTAGCTCCTGTTTTTGATGCCAGCCACTTGCCAAAATACCCCAGGCACGGAGTGACTTGGAGGGAAAAGTACAGGACATGGAGACAAATGCTTGGTGGTGCTGGCACAGGGAACTCATTTTCCCTTGATTCTTTGACACTGCAATTGATGCATGGCTTAACGGACTGCACTACCACTGCCAGTTGCCTGTTAAAATTACTCCCAATTATGGCAAACGTTTAACTTTAGGTACAAGCAGGACTGCGAGCGGCTTCATTTTGCACATCATTTTTTTTGGTTAAGCTTCTAACCTCTGCTGTAATTTTGCTTCATAAAACCTGGAGGGTTTAAGGGAGCCTGCAGACTGCGAGTTGTTACAGGGACTGCAGCCGGGCAGAGTTTTTGCCTTGTGATGCTAGGGGTCAGACTTCCAGCTGTGACTTTTATTTTCCCATATCCTCGTTCTGCACTGGTGACAGGGCATGCCAAGCCTGCCTTTATGGACTGGGAAAAATAGGACAAAAGGGTGCCCGTTTGTACCCGTTTTTCCCACCTGCTTTGGTGCTTCCACTGTGGAGGTCCTGGAGTCAGGTCCCTTATTTCCAGTTTTGTTTCCTTTCCCTTTTTTGTACCTTTGCACAATTTTGAGGTGAAGCTGGCCGACAGCATCCAGCTAATACAGATATGATTAATTTTCATCTTTCCTTTTTATTTTAAAGGTTGTGCTCTCCAATGCAGAAAGCTTCACCACAGATGGATGGGAAAGCTGCCAGCCAGCCACATTTTTGAGGTAAAAGGGGACAAGACACGGGAAAGTTTAGTGCTTTGCAAAAGTGACCTTTCTTGGTAATTAATTTGTCACTTCCCAACACCATCTGCTGACTCGTCAGCTGCATCCATCATAACCATAAAAAAAGATACTGAAAAAGTCAATTAAAACAAGGACCAGTGTCAAATGGGCTTTGCACAAATTCTTTTGCAAAGGTGGGAGAGGAAAAAAATAAAATAAATAAAAGCTAGCCCAACAACCTATTCTATAATATCCTTTTCATCAACACACATACCCATGGTCCCAGGGAGAAAAACTATGTTGAGCTCCCCAGAAGTTTTATAGCCAGGACCACTTCACTGCCCAGCGATAAACAGTAATAAATACACAGGGATCTGGGAAGCATCTCAGCGACTGCCACAATTTTAAGCCAGGATTTGGCCCAAATCGAGCAGTATTGACTGCGGTGGCAGCAGCAATCGCCTTGCGAGGGGCGCCGTGCAGCACGGTGTGTACACATCGCATCGATCAGCGGCGCTGCGGATAGGTGAGGAAAGTCATTTTAGGGGTTTGGGCTGTAGCTCTTTTCCTCTTGTCTCCAGCAAATAGCACCAGTGCTTAGTGCTCAACCAGCCGGGCAGGAACCCTGCTCTAACACCCCGTGAAGCCATTTGATGCAGGAGGCTTTCATTGCTTTCTCCACCTCATTTTTTCCTCCTGCATCTCACTCACTTGCGGCTGCTTGCTCTCGAGGTTCCTCGTGCGTAGCCGCTGCTCTGTGAGCAGCACCGGGACGTTTCTGGCCTGATCCCAAACCCTCCAGCCTCAGCGCCTGTCTGATGGCTTCCAGAGACAACCCTGGGAGATCTTAAGCAAATCGCTTTCTCTTTCTGCACCTCATTTATCTGGAGGGAGATGTTAGTGCATGGTTCGGTCCCTGAGGGGTAGTGCTGTGCCCGGGATTGTGAGATGTGTGGTTATTATGGTAACAGGGGTCACACGGGTCTCAAAATGGGCAGATAAATAGCTCGGGCTGCCTTGGCATCTCCCCACTCATCTGCTCAGTTTTTAAAGCTTTTGGTGATAGGTTTAGCATATATCGTTTTATTTATTATACTAATATTTAGCTCTAGATCCTGCCAGGGGATTTGTTGCCTTGAACGGATGCTTCCGTAATGCCAGTGGGTCAAACTTCATTCTGCTGTGGTTTTGGCACCATTTGGTATTGTTGTTACTGTGATTTGTTAACACGACAGTAGAAATACAATCGGTGCATGCATCATTTGACTGCTGATACACTTGCATCATAAAGACATTATCCTGGGGGCTCACAGCCTACGTAGACAAGCTGAGAGAAGAATTTATCCACCTTACAGATGGGGAAACTGAGGCAGGCAGCAATCTGCATTAGGGGCCCTGTCCAGTTGTGGGATGAACAGAGAACAGCTGCCAGGGGATCATCCTGGAAACGAGAAACTCTTAAAAATCCGATGCAGATAACGGTGCTGCCCATCTGGCATGCTCGTTTCCATGCATGCCAGGTAGCTGCTCCCTGGCCCTGCTGGGAGTGGGGGCACCGGTGTGTGCAGAGCTGTGTGCGTGGGTATATAAAGGGTGGGGAGCACAGCAGGAGCATCCAGGTGTGAGAGGGAACGAGAAGAGGTCTGACCTCCAGCACCCGGGCTGCGCTCACCAGGTAGGTGTGTGGTTTGTGCTTCCATTCCCCAGCTCAGTGGGGTGACCCGTGGGTGCTCGGGTGGGTGCTGGAGGCACCAGAACCCGTTGGCTTCAGCAGCAATTGCTAAACGTGAGAGAGCTCTGACAAAGAAGGAGGAAATCAATGCTTAAATAAGGGGAAAGGTGCTTTCGGCTCTTAACACATGGTGGAAGCATTGATTCCATCACCTTCTGCCTTCTCGTTTGCCGTGAGCACCCAGCAGACACTGGAGAGTGCTGCAGAGGCACGGCAAGCCCTGGGTGCCCTCTGCACTTGGGAAACTGCTTTAAACAGACCAAGAAGAAAAATACATGTATTTGTACAGCTCCTATTGATGGTAACAACTTCATTTTTATTTATTTATTTATTTATTTATTTATTTATTTATTGGAAGACAGAGCCTGGCTGATAAACCTACTTCCTTGTCACTGTTCTCACACCAGTACCAGGTGGATGTTCACCCCTCCTGCCCTCAAATTGGCACTTCACTCCCGCTTTACTCAGGCATAAGCCGAGCTGGGCAATGCTGCTCCCAGCCTCGTGTGACCTCGGTGCTTTGTTGTGCTGATGCTGAACTTGGGATCCTCCTGCTTTGTGCTTTCTCTTTGTAGCTGGGAAGCAAATTCACAAACAACAAGGTACATATCTGCCTGGAGAGGCATTGAGCCGGAGATCTCGGGTCTGACAGACATGTCCTGCCTACAAAATAAGGAATAGACATTCAGAAAAGATATTTTTTGACTGGAGTAATGTGCGGGGGTGTTTCTCTGGAGGAAGAGGGAGAGAATCAATTCACAAAGGGCTAGTCAATACGAGATGAAGGAGGTGACTGAGTTTATTTCTTTGTATGTGGCAGTATTTCATTGCAGCGTTAGAATAAATGAAACCACACAAAAGATTGATGCTGCGGAGATAACACCGCATTATCAGCACATATGCATATTGACATGCTGTATTACAAGGGGAGAGCCTGAGAAATTCCCCTTCTGATCACTCCAGCAACAGCTCCATTTCGCGAGGTCTCCCAGGGTGATCTCTGAGCGTGCCTGATGGTTTTCTGTCCCGGTGTGAGTGGTAAGGGATGAGATGCCCTCTCCTGGGTGCAGAGCGGTGCCGAGGGAGAGGAGTGGGGCTGCAGCCACCTTCACTTGCCATGGGAGCTCCCCTGGCCTGGCACGAAGCTGGGGGATGTGACCGGCAAGTGCTGCAGGAAGGGAATATTTATTAACTTCCACTGGCCTCCAGCTCAATACTAGCTGATATTTATGGGAAATCTAATTTAGGGGTCAAATTTGACCTAACAATGTCTTTTTAATAATGTCCAAACCGAGAGGTTTCTGAAACTAATTAAGGATCAGGCTCCAGTCAGGTAGAGTAGTTAAGCCGTGAGAGCAGACTTCATTAAACGCGTCCAGAGAGAATATTTTAATATTTAAAGAGAGCATTTAATGTTTATATAAGTTCTCTTCCAATGCAAAGTCACTGTTAAATCACTTCAGAAGGTAGTTTTTAAAGCCCTTTATACCAGACTTTTATGCAGCAGGGCTGGCAAACACCCTTCCCAGCTCTCTTGAACCCAGTGAGGCTTATTAAAGGATTCAGTCTATCGGTGCAGATTTTCAAGGGTGAGGGATATAAAAACAAAATTTAACAAAACAGCTGTAGTAAGTTCTTTCTCTCCTGCAGCATCACCGTCTCCCTTGCTGTCAGTGGGATTGACGCGTGTGTTTTGCTCTGGATGTGTGGAGGTCTTAAACCACTACAGCTGGAGGGCTAAAGCTTGCAGAACAGAGGGAGTCTTTAACCGTACTGAAGGGCTGGGCTTTCAGTCTCCCGAGATATTGCTCAAGAACAAATCTGTTTACAAGAAATAGTTTGAGAGGAGAACTGTCAGTCAAGGCACTTCTATTCTCAGCTTAGGAGCAACTGGATGAGTAAATATACCTTTAGTTAGCTGGTGGCTAAATTAGATTGCAGCTGATGAAAAGCCGAAGGGATTTCTTGTCAAACAGCCCTCTCTGTTATCACCCCGGCACCCTCCTTCCTGTGTTGTTCAGGCTCTCACCATGGTTTCGAAGAAGGCGATGGCCAGTTTGCTGCTGGTGTACGTGGTGTCCATGTTGGCTGAACAGACCGAAGGCTTCGTGCCATTTTTCACCCAGAGCGACTTCCGAAAGATGCAGGTAACTCATGGGATGTCCTGCAGTGGTAGGAGCCCTGAAAAACATAGGGAAGGCTTCTTCCTCCCTCTGCTCCCAAGCCCTGTGTACACCATGCCACTGTTGATCCCATCGTCTGCCCCCTCCATTAGGACACAACATCTAAGAGTGGCAGTCCCTCCTCATCCCAAAGTGGTAGGAGATGGCAGAGAACACTTCCAAGACTTGAGACTAAAGAAGAGCTTGGACTCCTTTACATAAAAACTAAAAAACCCGTGCGGGACATCATCTGCTGCTAGCAGCTCTCGCTTTTCTTTCCTCCATGCTAGTGGCTGTGATTCCTATAGAGAAGCTGCAGCCTCCCATCATCATACTGATGGGTCTTTTTGTTGTAACAAATAATTAACCATCCTCCAGATGGTTGTCACCTCTGGGATGTGCAGAGAGAATGTTTTTTTCTTTTGATGTGAAACTAATACTGTTGAAAGGTGTCAGGCAGGCAGCCTCAGAGACTGCATCTTCTCCTTAAACACAGCCGAAGGGAGCTTCCCCCGCACGACACAATCCATTGATACCGGGGAGGAATCTTTTTTTTCCCAACACCTACTTGCTCACTGGATAGTGATTTCTTCTTATGGGGAGCACAGACATCCTTCAGCCTCCTTGAAGGAGGAGATGGGGACCCACGCACAGTCCCCAGACGGTTCATACATCGTCACCCTTTTAGTTATGTGTCTGCTGGTGATTGAGGGGCTTCTGGAGGTACGTGGGTGAAATCAGTCTTAGCTTTCTTCTAGAGGCTGCCTCTTCTCCTCCGAGCACGTGTTCAAACCAAAGCGAGTGCACAGCAAGCAGTCAGCGTGGCGCTGAGCACAGCCTTCGCTGCATCTTTCATCCTGTTTTGTCGGTCATACCCCAAAGCAACTCTGGCTTTTCTGTTTGGGGTAGGAAGAAAGGAAGGGTCCTGAAGCCAAGATTAGCCCCGTAAGTGGGAAAGAACTGATGTTACAGACTTCCAAGAAAGTCTGGCAATATGTGTTGTCTGCACAGAGCTCTCCATTTGCAATGAGCTTGTGCAGGGTTTTGTTAAACTTCGGTGCCACTGAGACAGAAAAGAACCAGGACTGAGCCTACGGAATGGCTGCGTGAGGTCGATGTGCTCAGCTGCCACGTCCTGCTGCCAGCGGTGTCTTGCACGGATCAAAGCAGTCATCCAGGAGTGTCAGGTTTGCTGCAGAGCTTTACCCTCAGTACCGTAACCCAGCCTTACACATTGCGGCCCCTCCTGCGTATCACAGTTACAGTCCCAAGGCCACGATGACCGCAGCTGATGGGTCTGTTCCCCGTGAGCTGTGGCCCTAGGGTAGGATGCTGCAGACAGCGCTCAGACCTCCAGTCCCTCTGGTTTTCTGCCCTGCTCCGTGGCTGTCGATGTGATGCAGAGAGGGTTTGGTACCTGTGCAAAGCTGCCACACGGCACCACTTCCCTGTTTGCTCTCTGCTGTGGGGTTACAGGAAAAGGAGAGGAACAGAGAGCAGAAGAAATCCCTGACCCCGCTGCAGCAGCTGGATGAGGAAGGCCTCGCTGAGCAGGCTGGCGCAGATGTCGCAACAATCCAGGTACGTTGAACCCTGAGACTCTGAAAGCTCATAGGGACACGTGGGGGAGAACTGACAGCCCAAGGGCTGCCCCATGGGGCCTGGCAACCACCAGGTGCCACATGAGAAGCCAGAGGGTGTTATTAGGGAGCTCACAACCTGTGTAAAGCAGCAACGCCCATTTCCTACCAGCTCTGCCAGGCAACCAGGCAAGGATGCATCAGAGAAAGGTTTTACCTCCAAGCCATAAATTATCTCAGAGGTTTAGCAGCCTGGTCACCCCTCAGACCTGCCTGGCCTCTCCCTTAGCATGGGAAGATGGAAACAACATGTGGTCTGTCTCCGCCGTTCAGTGAACGCCAGCCAACTGCAAGGCAGTAATTTGCAGCTCTGCTTCAGGTCTGGTTTTAACTTGTCACTCTTTCAGGCAGCTCCGGATCAGCTGTCTGGTGTCACTCACCTCCCATCTCAGTCCTCTGCACTGCCAGGATCTTATTTATAAAGTTGGGTCCGTACAGCTGCACCCCCCAAAGCCTGTATATAGAGCAGAAAATTGCCAATTTTAGGGATTTAAGTGCCAGTCTAAGCCCTCAAAGGCACGCTTACTTGGTTAGCTAAGTCTGAAAATTGCACTTTCCCTCTTGAATACAGGGAGCCCTTTGCCCGGTCGATGCAGCCACTCCTGTGCTCAGCGCGGCTGCCTTCTGCCAGCCAAAGGAGCTTTTAGGTCTAGCCCAAGCAGTGGGACGGGCAGCGGGGCCAGCCTGGAGTTTGGCCAAGACACAGGTCGATGTGCAAGTGCTCTCATAACTGCGGTACACCGATGATCAATAATAGGATTTAAACAGCAAAGATTTGCAGTTCAAAGCATTAAACAGCTGGCACATCCCTTGTCCAATGCTCCCCAGACGCTGCAGCCCTCCCGTGCCTCCAGCCACGAGTGGAGCAGCTCTATTTACCTCCAGCACATCTGAGCCACGGCTCAAAGTCAGGCTGGAGGCAGGGCGATGTCTCCTCCTCAGCCCTTTCTAAGGCAGCATGCTTTGCCAGCATCAGTAAAGCTGCTGTCTCGAAGGGTAAAGGTATGAGATAGTGGGGGATTTTAAGGTGTAGAAATGATTTTTCTTTGCAGCCTCTGTTGCCGGTAGGTGCCTTTCTCTGTATTTCTGAGTCAGACCATAGATGCTCCAACGCATGAAAACTTTGGCATTTTCACCAGCACAAGATTGCACTGCAGTACGTGGGGCTGATTTAATTTTGCTTTTCCCCATACAAGGATCATCTCACATCAGCATTAGACCCTTCACTGACTTGAGCAAAGTGGGGTCGAAGCACTCAAACCTGCCTGCCTCTGCTCCCCTCAGCTTTTCCTGATTTTCTTGCTTCCTCCACAGCTAGCTGTTCCTGTTAAAGCTGGGATGTGGCTCATCTCGAGGCAGCTGGAAAAATACCAAGATGTCCTGGAGAAACTGCTCGCGGAGGTGTTACAGGACACCCCAGACGGTACTGTCAGAAGGTTGATTCCTGCCTTGGGAATTCTGCCTTTCCCTCCTCTCAGCAGCTCATCATCACCGAGATATTTATATTCCTCAGAAGGGCTTTTGTGTCATGTTTGCTCACTTTACAGAGTCCTCAGATACCCCACCCACCCGCATGCACGCGGTTCCCTTCTGGGAAGGTTATACCCTCTCTTAGGGTGCTGTCCTGGCCCCAGAGCCGCTGCTAACTGTTAGCAGCATTGCAACACTTCCCAGCAGCTCTCCCCAGCCCTGCTTCCCACCTCCCTAGTCCTTCCCAAAAGTCCTCAGCCTTTAGGGTGTAATTTCCAACAACGCTTACAATGCTAGCTGCATTAGAATTGTAATGCAAGCTGTGAGGCACTTCGGCACCCACAGGCAGGTGTGAACACCTTGCTCCCTGCACTGGGGCTTAACACTGGGTGAATTGGCTGCAGCTCAAGGTCTTGAGTGCTAACAAATCCAGCATCCAAAATCCAATCCAAAATTTTCTCTTAGTGTATAGGAATTGAGAAAAATGCAGGGGCAGGATGAATCTGTTCCAGCCTCAGGAGTGATGGAATGATTATCACTAGTGTTATCACTGAACCTTTGTCTGATTTGGGCTTAAATACCCCAGACAACAGAGTCCCTGTTATCCCTGGGGGAGTTATTTTACTTTGGCCTGTGCTGATTTCAGCCTCCTTGTTTTTCAGGTGAGGAGCTGAGGAGGAGAAAATGATATAGAAAGCCTGGGAAAGACTGAATGATAAATTTAAGGACACTTGTTCTTTCCTCTCTTTGCTTTTTAGCTGACTGATATCTGCAGCATCAGAAGAGAAAGCGATGCAGCTTGCTAAAGCTGAAAGACTCCACTTATGTAAACGAAATCTGTAAAAGAGATTAACAACAAAATCTGAGGTGAGATAATAAAATGCGCAGTATAATTAAATGGAGGATTTGTGCCTTTTTTTTCTGCATGCGTCTCAGCCAGATGGCAAGCAGCAAGTGTGGGAAAGACGAGAGGGAGGGTTTCCAGTTCTAGAGAAATCACGTCCTTCTGAGAAGTACAAAGCATGCTGCAGCACATGAGTAATTAATCTTCGTGGACTAATAGCTTTTAACCTTCCCTTTTGGCAAAGAGGGAAACTGAGGAACATTTACAGGGACAAACCAGGGACAGAAGCACAGGCTGAGGACCTTGGGTGTGGGTTCCCACCCAGCTCAATGCTCCAGACACAGCAGGGCAATTCTCCTACACAGCTGGGAGAATACCGGAGTCCTGATGTGCAGTTTCTACCTGCAATCTGAACTCCCTGTTGCTCAGCCGGGCTACACGCATCTAAACAGCATCGCAGGGAACACCTCACCCGTAGCTATGATGTGAACAGACACAGTGTGAAATGACACAGAGCTCTGGCCCGATTTCTGGCTCTCAAGCAAACCTCGATGTGACATCGTAATTCCACTTGAACATATTGCTCTCCATTTACATACCTTTGGCTTATTTTAGAGCTGCTCCTCTCTACTGGCAGCAGGAAATCCAACATATGTAAAATGAGGACTGATGAGATGAATGGTACGTATGTGAATATATCCGACTTCAATCCAATTTTATCCTCCCAACCTAACGCAAATTCTGTTCTTACTGAGGCTCATTTAAATAGCTGTGTTTGTGCTAGAACAACACATACATGCTTCTAGCTCCTTGGTGCACTGTCTGCTGCAAGCCATCCCTTAGGAGAAATGAAATCTCCCGATGTATAATGCAACATCCAGCACAGAGTGGATTCCGGTTTTAATATTTGATTCGAAGGTATACTCCTACTGAATAGACTGATCAGCTCGGTGTAACTGGAAGTTTGCAGGGATTATTGCTGAGGCAGGTTGAGCTATGGAACCGCTATAAAGGAGTCTGAGCAGGAGGAAAATAATACATTCCATTAGGCTGGAAATAAAAGCAACTACATGTCTTGCTGGGCTCGGAGCTCAGCCAGTGCAAATCAGTCTGCAGTGGAGTGATACCCATGGGAAATCTGTCATGGAAATCACCAGAGGAGCTGCACTGTGTTTACACCAGTGCCCAGCAAGGTCAGAGATGAGGCTGTTTGCTTTGAAGGGGCACTCATTACTTCTGAAAGACCTAAATCCTTACCCTAGGCTTAATTTTGCCCTGCCATGGGGGGGTGGCAAAAAAACATGGATAGTTTCCAGCTGAAGTGCAAGCTGCTTCTTAGATCCCTACAGAAGCTCTACTGCAGGTCGGAGCTGTCTCTCAGCATCCCTCTTGCTCTGCTCTTTCACTGAGGGGGTTTCCTGGCTCCCCATGCTGTGTAGGAAGGAATGTTACCCAGTGACAAGCAAAAGTAAATAAGTGGCAAAAGTAAATAAGAAAGTGAACGTGATCCTCTGGGATTTGCTTCCTGGACCATTTCCATGCAGATTGGCGCTGCAGAGACTTCTATAAGGAGATCCACAAACGAGCCTTTACTGGGATGTCTCCCTCTGCTCTTCCATTTTGACCCACACAAGTCACTGCTGGGCTGCAGCAGCAAGCTCTGCTTTCACCCCAGTCCTTGGTTGTGCTCTATTCCCAGTTGACCAAGGTATAAATGAGCTGCGGGATGCATGGCAGTTTGTGACAATAACCATATGAACTCTCTCTCGTTCTGCAGCAATAACTTTACACCAAAGTGCAAGGGGGCCTTCAGCTTTCGGAATAAAATTCCCTCCAACTTGCAGGCTTGAGTAGTGGGAACAAAGCAGATATTCACCCCAACCACCCTCCCAAACATGACTCCTGCAGTCAGGGATGTATCTGGTTAAGAAGAAAAAGGGGTTCCAAATCTCGGGACACATCTGTATGCACAGTGCCCCCAGCAGGCTGCTTTGGCATGGCTCAGCCAGCAGCGCTGAAGTCCATGCCTGCAAGCAGGTAGGAAGATGTTGCTGCTCCAGAAACCAAACAAGTCCCATGGCAGGATGAACAGCTGGGGGAAGGGAGGCTGGGAAGGAGGAGAACGAGAGAAAAGGATGAAAGTGGCAGGCCCTTTCTAACCTAAGCTTGTCAGGCTGAGGACACGACATATGAGGAGGACAAGAAGTGGTGTTCTTGGGTCACACCTGTGCCGCGGCTGTGAGTGACAGGGTGTTAAATCGGCACAGTCGGCTCCCAAGTAAGATTTGACACTTCCCCTAGTGGCATATGCAGGACTGTCACCCAAATACCATGGGATAAGAGGTGGGGGTGGGATGGCAGTTTCTCTGGCAGCCCCTCTGTCAGGGGTGGGCAGTCATCTGCTGACGTGCTTTTTGGGATGCAGCACGCTCCCCTCTTCAGGCACCGTGTAAAGATGGTGCAGATCTATTTCTACCCCTCTGCTTTTACCGCTCCTGTCTTGGTGCTTCAGGAGAAGAAGCAGACAGCATGGCACTCCTGCTCTTCCCATTCGATAGCTGAGTCACTGCCAGCTGGCCTAAGACAGCTTCTGGGCTAGCAGGACAGGTGGAGGGTGTCCCGTCCTCACTGTCCCATCTTCCCACAGCCAGCTCAGGATATTTAGAGCTAAGATATTCCCACTGTGGGCTGGGAACTGGCTTTCCTTAGCCAAGGATCTCTGAGCATCACAGCCCATCTGCAGCACTGGCAGGGCTGTGCTCGCCCTGGCAGCCTTTGCTGCTGCCCAGGGCTGTGTGGCTGATGGAGGGGCTGCACGAAACAGAGGGTCCACTGTCAACCTCACCAGCAGCACTGCTGGCAAGATAATGGGAACAAATAGGTGTTTGTCCCCTCTGTCATCTCTGAGAGGCTGTCTTCTCCTGCCACCATGGTGTTCAGGTACCTCCAGGGAAGGCAGTGATGTTCCCAGGAGCTGGCTTGCTAGGGAAGAAGGAAGAGGGGCAGTGGATTTCTCTCCACGAGGAGACATCTGTTTCTGCTGAGCATTGGTCCCGCCAACCTCCCTTCTGCAAAAGGATCACAACTTTTCCCCAGTCCTCCAACTCTCAAACACCACTCCCGTGTTCTCCACTCTGAAGGTCACACAATGCTGGGCCAACTGCTGCAACTTCCCTGACTTCCAGAAGCAAATGAAGATGAAGAGTGGTGCTCTTCTCTGCTCTGCTCCGCTCTCCTCAAGCAAGAGAAATTCACTTAATTCATGAGCTTGTATGAGCTCATGCTTAGATACCAGCATGCATCTGCAAGTCTAGGCAGAGCTTCTCCAAACTGTCTGCAAGCTGTGAGCTTTCAGAAACTGTGTACTAAGAGCATATTCTAATTCTGTATTTACATTAGACACTACTCCAAATTATTAGCTGTCAGTTGTGCTTTCCACTTAGTGAGCAGGGGAGGCTCGGCTTCGCACATTCACACTTCCCATCGGAATGGAGTATGCTCTTTTAATGGGCTCCCTGGCCTCTACTAAGTGTATATTTGTTGTTGCTAACCAGATTAACAAATCTCAGTATCTTGTTGCTGCTTTCTCACATAAATCAAGAAGAGCAAGGCAAGCCTTGTCTGATGCCCTGAATTAGACGAAGGGCACGACAGCAAAGTGAGCATGAAAGGAGGGCGAGAGGAAGCTGAGAGCCTCACTGACTTGCCTTGTATTTAAGGCATTCATTAAAATCAAAGATGCCCTCACTTGCTGGAATTGTACAAGATGCAACATCTAAGCTGAGGACACAGTGGAGGTTTCTGTGTCCTGCTGTACTCCATCCTCACAGAGGTGAGTGGCAGGCAGCCTTGCCAGGGCTCTTCCACAGCCCCTTCCCCACAGGTCCCACTCCTGTGGCACTGTGATTCCACGGCTCTGGTATCATCCGTCGATCACAAAAACGACGATGCACAGACAGTCTGCAAGCATTCATCACCACTTTTTCATTATCTTTAATTAAATTCTGATATTAAGCCACAGTATTTCAGCCACTTTCATTACTTTCTTTACAGGCGGCAGCAGGAAAAAGCAATTACTGTACATCACTGCTGTGCCAAAATAAATTTTCGAGTTGACATTTGGTTTTGCCTTTTTAGGCTTCAAGTACGTAAGGAACCTCCTTCCCCAGCAAAAATCCCCAGGACCCAGATCCTGATCCTGCCCAAAGTGGTGGCAAAGTGCCAGCCCGCCTGGCAGGTGCCAGTTCAACGACTGTAACTTGGCAGAGAGGAAAGGGATGAGGAAAACATGTGTAGGGGGATGGCAGGTGGCAGGGAAAGACACTTCTTACTCCATAAATGTCCCTAAAAGTGTCAAAAATTGGTATAGCTTGGTTGGAGCGAGGCAAGAGGAGCTCACCACCCCTACTCGCTCCAGTGCAGTGTGGCTCCCAGGGTGACGGGGCAGTGGCACTGGTCGGCTGGGAATGATAAGGCTGCTCTCATCTTGCTTTCCCCGTTCCTCCCCCTGTCCCCTCTCCTGGGGTGGGCAGCGCCATTCCCTCCCTGAGAAGCACCTTCACTTGACTTGCACAATCTTCTACAAGAAGGATATCAAGGCCCTGGAACAGGGCTACGAGGCTGGTGAAGGGCCTAGGACACAAGTCCTGTGAGAAGTGGCTGAGGGCACTGGGGGTGTTTGGGCTGGGGAAGGGGAGGCTCAGGGCAGAGCTCATTGCTCTCTGCAGCTCCCTGAGAGGTGTGGGGAGCTGGGGGTCGGCCTCTGCTCGCAGATACCCAGGGACAGCAGAGGGAACGGCCTGGAGCTGTGCCAGGGGAGGTTGAGGTGGGCAATGAGGAGCCATTTCTGCTCAGACAGAGCGGGCAGGCGTTGGGACGGGTTGCCCAGGGAGGTGGGGGAGTCCCCGTCCCTGGGGGGGCTCCAGGAGAGGTTGGGGCTGGTGCTTGGGGACACGGCTCGGTGGGGACAGTGGTGGCAGGGGATGGTTGGAGCAGATGATCTTGAAGGTCTCTTCCAACCCCAATAACTCTATTCATACGGCGCCGCCCACGGGGGCCGAGGGACGCCGCCTGAGGCCCCCTCCCGCCCTTCCCAACATGGCCGCCCGGAGGGGGCCGCGAGCCCTCCCCAAGATGGCGGCGGCGCTTCCTCGTCGGCCGAGTCCTTCCGGCGAGGCCCCGAGCCCGGCCGCGGCCATGGCGGAGCTGACGGACGCGGAGCTCCGCAAGGAGCTGGTGGCGCTCGGCTACCGGCCGGGGCCCATCACCGACACCACCCGCAAGGTCTACGTGAAGAAGCTGGGCTGCCTGAGAGCCGAGGTGGCGGCGGCGAAGCGCAGGGGCCGCGGAGCCCCGCCTAGCCCGGCCCGCAGCGCCGGCAGGCCGCAGCAGGCCTCGCCCTCCCGGCCTCGCCTCGGCTTCGGCCCCAGCGGCAGGGAGAAGGAGGAGGAGGAGGAGGATGAGGAGGAGATGGAGGACGAGGAGATGGAGGAGGACGAGGAGGAGGAGAGGGGGCAGCCGCCAGTGTCCCGCTGGGAGGCCTCAGGGGAGGGCGGCAGGCTGGCCTGGGGGGGGGCCCGGTACAGCGGCAGGGCTGAGGGGGGCTCGGCCCGGGGGCTCGGCTCCGCTTCCCAGTGGTACCTGGACGAGGACAGGAGCGGGGGGCGCACGGCTCGGCCAGAGCCAGCCCTGGATGGGTTTGGGGGGCTGAGCCCCGCGTCGCCATGGGGCACGTCTGCAGAGAGAGGGGGGAGGCTGAGCGCGGGGTCAGCGCTGGGCACCGATGGGTTTCGGGTTTCGGGCTCCTCAGTGTTTGAGGGGAGCTCAGCAGAGAGAAGCAGGGGGCTCAGCGATGTGTCTAGGCCATCCCTGGATGGGTTTCGGGAGTCGAGCTCCTCATCCCAGTGGAGCACATCTGTGGAGAGGGGCGGGGGGCTCAGCGCCAGGGCTGGGCTGAGGACGGCCCTGGATGGGGCCGGGGGGCTGAGCTCCGAATCCTCCTGGGGCACATCCACAGGCAGAAGTGGGGGGCTGAGCTCCAAACCCCTTTCCAGCGATGGGAGCGGGTACCTGCCGTCTAGGAGCAGTTGGGGCTTGTCGCTAGGACGAAGTACAGGGCAGAGCTCCCCGTCTCTGTCAGAGACAGCAGGAGATAGGAAGGGTCTGTCCTCCTACAGCTGGTGGAAGCAGGAGAGCGAGGTAGCGCCCAGCACCCACTGGGGATCTGCAGCGGCACGTTCTGGCTTGAGCCACCAGTTTGGGAGAGGGGAAGAGGATTTGCTGTCCAGTGTTCGGAGGAAGGAGGACAGGGAGCCGAAGCCTGGCGGCTGGGCAGGGGGCCTGGCCCGGCGGCTCCCCTGGAGCTCTGCGAGCAACGCAGGGCTGGCCTCGGGCAGCCGCTGGGATGCATCGGCAGCAGGACAGGGAATAACGCCCCGCACAAAGCTGCTGCGGACAAACCCCAGGCAGCGGATGGAAGGAAAGGGCAAAGGCCTCGAGTACTACCTCTCCAAGTTCCTTTTCCTTGCCAGCTTCGTGCTGCTGATGATTTTTCTGGGCATCCTCATGGTGAAGATGATTGGGTCAGGCTGGCTTGACAAGGGAGAGGAGAACTGTACGTGCACTGTTTTAATCCAGTTTTTAAACTTTACCTTTCCTGATTTCCCTTTATTACTTCTATCACCGTCAGATTTATCATTATCAGCGCCATAACTTGACACCTCTATTTCTGTCCCTATTTCCTTTTCCCCTTGTCCTTGGGAAACCTTGTTAGTGTCATTGAAAGTCAGTCAAGTGTGTGCTTATTTTTCCCCGCTCAAATGAGTTTGGCCTTCAGTTTTTCAAAACCCCAGGTTTTATGGAGAGCAACGTTCCTGCTAGGAAGTATTTTATGACTGTCCATTGTGTCACATAATGCCCGTGTAACTGCCTGTGGCGTGTTTTAATGTTAGACTCTGCAAAGCACTGACCACAGAGAAGTACGGAGTTGGAATTGGTACTTGTGCACCTCCAGTGTGGCAGAGCTTCAGTGGGATGTGACAACGGGCTTCCCCATTGCCTTGCTTACAGAGCAGAGTTCCCCAGCTAAAGCAAGTTGAAATATTGACGCTTTATGGCTTTGAACTGAACGAGGAGTTTTGGTTAGGAACTGAAACTGGGCGCACTGCTTGTAGATGTTTGTGCGCTTTGTGTGTGCTAGGATGTGTCCTGGTTCCTCAAAGCCAGAATAAAGCTAGCCAATGTCACTGAATTTCTGATGGGCCCTTTAGGATGTTGTTAGGTAATTTCTAAACCCATGATACTTTAAAGCAAGAAGTCATACAGCACAGCTGAGCACTCTTTTAAGTACACAGGTAGTTAACAGTGCTAGAAGGGAGTGCACGACCAACCCGTGGCCAGTCCGTGTCCAATTGTCAGGGCAGGAGGCAGCTGTTAAACCAGAGGCCATAAGCTGCAGAACTAACAGCTCCGAGTGAAATAGACCTGCTGCTTCTGCCTCGCAAAGTCTCAGTTTAAATCCTTGTTACTACCGTGATATTTCAGGTGACCATGGCATACAGCGGGTGGCATTACTAGATTGCAAAAGATCAGTGCGAGTTCTCATCTACTCGCATCTACTTAAACAGGAGCTGTTAAAACACCTGGGCCACAATTTTTACTTTGCAGATGAATGGGCTTCATCGTTTTCACCCTGATACAAAACCACTTCTATTTGTTTGCTTTCAGCACTGCCTACCAAAGCAGTGCTTTGAATGTGCAAGGTACTGTGCAGAGTAAATTAAGAACAGCAGAATCAGACTTGAAAGTAGAGCCTTTTTTAAAAGACATAATTGCTTTCTTGATCAAAGCTATTGTTTTGCAGCCAGCTAACTTTTCTTCCCCTTCTTCTCTCCCGTAGTTAATCTTTTGCATGTGGATTGTGACAAAAGAACAGATGATGTAAGCATATACTTATTTATCTTCAAGTATTGGGGATTGGGGATTCTCACAGAAGAGTAATTATTCTGGGAAGCTTCCACCGCTATCAGTATCACTATAAAATTATTAGTTCTATCTTTTGATTTCATGAGTTGGAATTAATGGGCCAGATTAAATTGGGATTGTATATGAGACTCTGAAAGATAAAAAATTAAATTCCCGATTATGTGAATCAATTTCTTTAATAGTTGTAACAGAAGTGATATTGGTTTACAGACAAAGCCCTACCTGTGTTCAGCTTCAACAATGCAAGACTTAATCCAATTCCCTGAACTTCATTTCAAATTGTTTGTACAGCCTTATTTTTTTTTTTTAATCATAATGCGTTATTTTGAGAGAAAAAAAAATGTGTTGGATTCAGCATTATGGTTGGTCTCCTGTGGTGTTTGGGGCATGCAGAGTTGATCTGCGGTCTGTCTGAGGGGGTGTCTGTGGAGCAGCCTGGGCAACGAGCTGGGGGAGTTGGAGCCACTTGTACAGGATGTGCAAGCTCACTTTTGACTCAGAAACTGCAGCCCTTTGCTGTGGGCGTGCTTAATTTGAACTAGTGATGCAGAACTGAGCCAAGCCCCACTGCTGGTATTTCATTTTGACGTTTTTTAGCTAGTCTGACTGCTGCCCTGTTGCTGCCAGTTTATTCATGTTTGTTACCTGTTTCTGACTTTCAGTTCTGTCAAGCCAAGCACAAGGACATAATAATGAACATACTGCATGAGTTGTATAACTACTTGTCCATACAAGCCGGTGAGTTCCAATTGTCAGTATAAAGCACTTGTGAACGTTCAACAAACTGCCTCTCCCAGCTGTCTGGACATTTTTAACCTTAGTTTGAAGAGAGGGGTTTGCAGAACAGTCAGTTCCACTTGAAGAGCTCTGAGAAAGTCAGGTAATAGAAAAATAGAAAAAGATGTGTTTATTTTTAATCTGAACAGTGCTTAGCTAATGCGCTTATATCACTGTGCTCTTGTGGAGCAAGTGTTCCTTGCACTTGATGTATTGGGAACTTGAGGTACAAATATTCAGCTTTATGGTTCTTTTCTACAAGTATCTTGAAATTGTCTTCAAGACACTCAGAGCCAATAAGTGTAAACTTACAGCGTGTTCCTACAAATGGAGTTGAAGTGACTTAAGAAATTTGCCAGTTCTCTGCTGAAGTGTGGTAGCTGACTATGGGAATGCTTCTGTGTTTTCTCGGCCTTGAGTAAGGCAGGTTCACTTGGCTGAGGAGCTAACCCCACACAGTAGTTAGCCAGTCTCTACCATATATGCGCCAGTCCAATCCATTACTAGTATTTTGTGATGGAGAAGGCTGCTAGAAGTTCAGTGGACAAATAAAACCTTTTTGTTGGTGGTGGTTTTTAGATAATAGTGTTAATCAGTGATGGTGCATAAGCTCCATTTTCCAGATTTCAGACCTCAGCAGGGCTGAATCCTTTAGGTAACTGGAATTTCATAGAATTGCTAAAGCTTTTCAAACCAGACTTCGTATTGTGAAATGCCCACCAGTTTTACATAGTCTCTTAGCACATTTGTTTAGTCAGCTTTGTGAAGCACGATGTAGAAACCCAAGTTCCTGGCCAATATTCCTTTGCCTGTGTAGAAGGCAGAGCTGGGCTATAGGCTTCTTAGAAGCATTTTGTGTGTTAATCTGGAACTTCAGCATTGCAGTCTTTGGTGCTTGATGGAAGGAGCCCCTCTGCAGGGCTTTAGGTCAGAGAGGCAGTTACATGCTCCTCAAAGGGAAGAAATAGCATTTTTTTCCCTCGTTCTGTGCAGAGTAGTTCACACACTGAAACATGAGGTTTGATTGCCCCTTTCCAACCTATATGCAGTGGTTGAGGGTTTTATTAATAGTCATAATCTTATCTGCCTACCATATAAATCCCACCTTGTAATCATTTTGCCCAGAGCTATAGTTGAATTTAAAGGGTAGCATTTATAGACAGTTCAGTGTGCTTCTGAAGTGTTCGAAGGCTTTTTTAAAAAAACATGATTTCTCTTTGACTTTTTTACCAGGTAATTTTGAATGCGGAAACCCTGAGAATCTAAAAAGCAAATGCATTTGGGTTAGTGAAGCAAGGGATCACGTGGTGGTGAGTAGGCTGTGAACAGCTATTGTTATAACGTAGTGCTTAGTCTCTTACAAGGCAATAAATAATAGATACTAAAGCAATTCACCATCTGTTTTACTTCCTCATCCTGTTTTGATTCTTTCCCATATCTCTAGTCTCCCCTTTGGCCAGTCCTGTTCTCAGCAGTTCGTTTGAAAATAATCTTCTCCTACATCTCTGATTCAGCCCCTGTAAATCTAACTTAATGGTTTGTTGTTTCGCCATAGTCATCAGTCTTGTGAAACCAGAAATTTCCCTGGATTGAGGGCTGGGCAGAAGAAAGATTTTTCTATACCCAAAAGTGTCAGAAGACAGACTGCTTTGATCTAGCATTCCATTTCTTTCATGGTAAACTGTCAGTAAGATTATGTTGTATTTAGTGGTTAGTCTTAACAGTCCGGGATAGTGTTATTTTACAGAGTGCTTCATGCATCATCTACCAGAGTCAGAAGATTTTAGTCCAGACCAAGCTTCAGATGTAGTTTTCTTTCCTTCGGTTTGCAGAATTATGATAAGAATTAACCTAGGGACAGACTGTATAGAATAAATTCTCCCCCTGCTGTAATAAAATAATGTTATTTGGTATTTTAAATGAATGAAAAACCAATCTTCTTATGGATTCTTCTGTGCAGAATATAACTGGTAGTTCCCCACAGAAGTTTGAGGCTGCCCTGCACTGGATACTGAACAGTAACAAGGATTTAGGAATATGGTAAGTGGAAGCCCACTGTTTCAAAATCATGTTTCTTGGTGTTGGCTGCTACGTAATTTGACATCCTGTGCGGTGTGCACAAAACGCTTTCATTCCTCATTAGATTTCCAAAGATAATCTGAGATTGGCTTTGTCAGTGTTTGGTAGGCAAGATTCCAAATAAAACGTACGGTCCTGCTGCAGAGATTGGCAACTGCAGACATTCCTTCTGAGCGTGTTTCCCAGCCTGTGCACTGGGGGACATTGCGTTCACGAACACGCTGTTTCACAGATGAAGTAGAAATCTGAGGTCATGGCTGCTTGTGGCTCTCAACTGCTACGTTGTGCTTACTGCAGGGTTTAGAAGTAATGGTCCTGGTGTCTTGCTCACAGTCTTTTGACTACAGTACTCGTGTTAAACATGCCCATGTACCCACTTTTTGCCCAAATAATGCGTTCCTTCAGTACTCTTACTGTAGCCAGAGCTTCAGTATTGTGTGGAACTGTGTCCTTTGACCAGAGGGATCGGGTTATATAGGTCAGTGAAACGTTCTCTTCAGAAGGTAACAGCCCACATGCTTTGGGATCCTTTGGAGCAAGTTCTTGTGAGGAAGAGAGGAAATAGATTGTTGAATGGTTGGGATCTTTTCTTTAGTGTCAGTTGTCTTTCTGGCAGAACACACAGTACATGTTAAAAGGAACAAACTGGGACTATGTAGGGGTTGGTCAGTCACCAGTGGGGCTTTATTCTTTCAGGTTTCTTGGCTACCACCCACTTCAGTACATGAGAAATGGCAGAAATACTAGTTTCTTCAGGTAAAAAAAAAACAACACAACATTCAGGCCCTAATTTAATGAAAGACTGTTATCCAGAGTCCACAGACATTATTATCTGCCTCTGGGAAGTGTGGGCTGCCTCCACTGTATGTTACCTCTGAAGTTGAACATTTGTTTGCATTTTAATATTGCTGAATGTATCTCTGATTAAATGAATTGTAGTATTACAGTAGTAATGCTAGAGCTTATGGGCATAGCTTGTATGAATTGCCACTGCTTTATTTTTTTCCCTAAAAAAATTTCGGTGGCTGCTGCTGTGATTTAATGATCAGACAGTGTCTACTACTTTGATTCCTGGTGCGTGGCAAATTCCCAGGACAGGATATTGCTTTCCTGGTGGCAGGCTCGGATTTGTGGGCGGGCTGGGATCCAGAGTTTTCAAATTTATATTTTCGTACGGGAGCAGTGCTCGTGTCAGGAGCCTTGTGGTACGATATATTTCCATTTTTTTACTTTCATAATTAGCAATTTTGCCGGCTGTTCGCCAAATGGATCCACTTTCATGAAGTCTGCGTAGCGTGCAGAACGAGTGTTCAGCATGCTTAAAAACCTGCGGGTGGCATTTTTAGCAAACGCTACGTGAGGTTATTTTTCTAGGTGCTAGTCTGAGAGGCAGAACTGAAAATGAGCTCTGCACTCGGTGATTCTCCTGCATATTTTAAATATTTTCATGGAATTTGGATTGTAAATAAGACAAGGGGTGGGAAACAACTGTGCATCTCCAGCTACTGTAGAATCCAGTAACCAAATACAAGCTGTCAGCAGTTTGTGAGCTGTGCGCTAGTAAATTGAGAAAATGTCTTTGTCTAATAGGTTATTCATTGCAAACCTAGAATGAATTAGTAGCTTAAAAAAATGAAATCCCCTTTAGTCTAATTCCTCTGAATCTGATGGCTCTCACTTGGTTTGCTTGATGCCTGTTGGCTTAGAGTATCTAATAAGGAAACCACATCAGTGTAGATCTATATATAAAGAAGGGAGTTAAAAGCATATCGGCTAGCGCAGCAGGTGTGGACGAGTGATTTTGCAGGAGGATGTGTTATCGATTTTGCCGTGAATGCTTTCTGAGGGTGTGTCTGTTTCTCACTGCAGATACAGTTGATGTGTTGTCACTTTTCTAGCTAAACTGTTTATGCTCATCTGTACTGAGGAAAACAGCGCAACCTCCATGGACATTTGCAGTCTCCCTCAACTGCTCTCTCTGCAATTGCTGATGAGTGACTCAGTAAACATTTCCATTTCTCTGTGCTGGGAGGTGGGAATCCAATTTAAAGTTTAATCTTCTACACGCTGAGAGGTGCTGTCAAAGAGTCTGCAGAGGGAGACTTCAGTTTACCAGTGGGAGTTCCAGCCCTGCTGCCTTTTCTAAAGCCATATCCATTCCTTGCTAAGCAGCCAGTCCCAAAATGTTCTGGAAAAGAGAAGTTGCAAGGATGTTGGTGTATTTTCTTTGTGGTGTATAGAACGAGTTACTGCATCTGCAGTCTGTTTGTTCTCCCTCTCTTGATTAAAGACTGCAGTTGGAGTGTGTTCTCTCTTCACTGAAGATTTTCTGCCTCTTCCCATCAGGTTGAGAGGCACAGACCTTTCTGAACCAGTTACCAAGGCGGAGCAAGTGGTCTGTCTCGAATCTGCCCATCCTCAGATGGGTCTCGGCTGCCGTTTCCGTCGGGCAGTGGTCACTGCCATCATGAACCTTTTCCTGTTTTTCTGGAGTAAGTTGTCAGTGTTTCTAATCAGCTTTTCCCCTTGCTGGCTGTAGAGATGAACACGCATGTGCTCACACATTTTTCCAGCTGTATGAAATTACTAACAGAGGTGAAATAAATCTGCTGATGAGTTAATTTCTAATTAACCTTTGTTCTGGCAATAGAGAGAGACCTGTAGACCTGCTCTTGAGCTGTGAGTGCTTAACACTTACTTTAAATCAGCAAGCTGATTAGCTCTCTGAGTATTCCTCAAGTACCCATTACTGTGGTCTGCAAAATAAGGACGTTAACCTACCTGAAAGGTTCATTTTTTCTTTTTCTTTGTGCACAAGGCTACAAAGTCTTCTGGACTCTTTAGTAATGACTTGTAGCATTCCAGTGTTACAGGTTTTATTGGAATAGTCTGTCATGCCCCAGCCGAGACAGAAGTCTTACTGAGCAAGGTGATAACGAGAGATGAGTGTTGAATAGTTGATAATCTATCCAGACAAGGTGGGGGTGAAAGGGGATAGTTATGTTTATTGTAGAGACTGAGATGCTAAAGTTAGCTCATGTTGTAACAGGGACATTTGTCAATGCTAAACCTTCACTATAGATCTGAATTTCAGGCTGGCACTGGAGCCCCAGGCTTTATCTCCTTATCAAGGAGCTATCTTCAGAGCAGTGGAGCTTGACAGTCTTCCTAAGTGATTATTGTGGGGGAGGCCTCTAGCAAGGAGAGAGCTCTGGGATTTAGACAATTACAGCCCTGTGGTCCTGCTGAGGTTTCTGGTAGGGGAGAAAAAGTCTGTGATGAGGCCTTCTGACCACCTCCCACATGCACGCATGTTCTGCTGCTGCAGGTGTTGCCAGTACCAACAGTTTTGTGGGGTGCAGCTGCCGTGGTGAACAGAATGAAATGCTTGGACTCAGTTCCAAGCAGGCCTGAGTAGCTGGCAGGAAGAATGCTGCTTCCAGGGAGGTGTCAAAAATAAAACTGCTAGCATTGGGCAAGTACACAGATGTCAGTATTGAATTCTATTTCTTTTCTATTTTTCTAGGTCTGGTAACTCTTTGGGGGATCCTGATCTTCCTTAGGTACCGCTGGCGGAAGATGGAGGAAGAGGAGCAAGCCATGTATGAGATGGTGAAGAAGATCATAGGTAGAATCCAGTAGCTTTCTAAACCCAGGTAGCAATGTTCTCCTATCTGCAGCGTCTCTCACTGTTTTGTCCTCCTGCCTTCTAGCCGTTGTCCAGGACCATTACAAGGAATGGGAACGTAACTTGGAGCGTTACCCCTATGTCGGCATCCTCCACGTTCGGGACAGCCTCATCCCTCCTCAGAGCAGGTGAGCTGAACTTTGTTCTTTAAGGAGCTTTGTCAGCACGATGTTATTCACCTCAGCTCAAAACTACAGTTACTGGCTAAGAGACCATGAGCAGAGAATTGCTGGGAAGCTGGACTGCAAGAAGTCTGTCTGGCCTTTCACTTCATAAAGGATTTTGACATAACTCAGGCTATGTCTCAGCCTGCTGCAGATTAATATGACAGTCCAGAGGCTGATGTTTTGTGCAGTCACACAGTTTTATTGTTGTTCTGTTACACAGTAAGTGGATTTTGCTTTTCCTGGGCAGGGTGCATCTTATTTTCTCTCCTTCATCCGATCTGTGTTAGGGTGCTCTCCTTTTTCTGAGCCGTTGTATCTTGTTCTCCAGAAGGTGCTGCACTTCTTAGGGCAAACCTTTACATGAATTGAATAGGGTATTGGGAGGCTCTTCTGAAGTGGTTGGTTTTGATGGTGGTTTTGATAGGTGATATTGATGCCTTTTTGAAAAGGAAGCGTGGTCAAGGTGGTGGTGAGGCCAAAGGGCTGCAGCCTGGCTCTTGGTGGTTTACATGCCACTTATTTCATCTTTGCAGGATTTTTTTTTTTTCCTTCTGGTTAAATGGTGCTGCTTTGTTTGCCTGGCAGCACAGAATGCTGTGCGCTGCAGTCTTAAATGCTCTCCCTCTGTATTAGTCACAATACAACCAGTAGGAAAAGGAGTTATTTCAGCTGGTTTTAATTGATCTCTGTGTATGTGGTGCCCAGAATTACTAGAAAACTGATTCGAAACTGAGGTGAACTCCAATTTGCTCTCCTTGGTCTGAGAGATCTCTGCAGGGGAGAGATCAAGGGGGTGGCGGCAGCTTGCAGATCGAGTGCCTCTGCAACGTGAAGCGGGCTGGAAATCCAGGGCAGTCATCAATTGCTTGTGCTGCCAGAGGGTCTCATCTTCCCCACTGGCAGGACTCGTGTGTTCATGTCCTGAGCTGAAATCACCTCTAAACTAGAATTCTGGTTTAATCTCCTTTGCTGTCTGCACAGGGAACAGGAGGAAGCCAGCCCTAGCTTGATCAGCAGCCACAATGGCTGTGAGCAGGAAAGCACAATAAGGATACAATTCTAATTTATTTTCTTTTTGTCGCTGTTTCTTGCAGAAAAAAAATGAAGCGCGTCTGGAACAGAGCTGTGGAGTTTCTGGCTTCAAATGAGTCACGGATTCAGACAGAGTCACACAGGGTAGCAGGAGAGGATATGCTAGTATGGAGATGGACTCAGCCTTCGTACGTCTCAGATTCAGAACACTAAAGAGGAGCAGAAGTTGAGCAACTGTTGATATGTTCCTCTGCAAGGGGGCAGTCCCTTCTCTGGTGGTGGGAAAGAGCAGGTCACGGTCCTACTCTCCTTGGGTTGGGGATTGCACGTATCTGTTTGCTCTTCTTTCTGAAAATCTTCACACACAAAAATTCAGGGCAATAATGTTGGCTCGGAAAGAATATGGGCTTGAGCTGGTGGGAAGCTAGAATCACACCAAAGCCTTCCAGCAGATATCTGGCTTCTGTAGGCAAGCATGCCTAAAACAACTTTTTAAAAAGAACAAATTTTTATACTTGATATCAAGAGACTTAGGATCTCTCTGACAATGGTTAGGTTTTTAAAATTTGACCTCAATTCTGCAAAAGCCAATTGGTGGCAACATCCATCAAGGAATGTGTTTAAAGGAGATTAACATTTCCCATGGAAACATTAGGGTGGCAGTAAAGATACATTTTGTTAGAATTTGATTTTATCAGTACAAAGGTAGTGATGAAAGCACTTGCTGCTTCCTTAAAGGGAGAATGTTTGTGTCTGCTTCACCCTTCAAAAATGGGGAAAATGAGTAATAAAAAATCAGGTGGAGGTCGTCGTAGAGGGAGGGCAGTTTGATGTGCCTTGATGGTTTGGGCTGGGCTGGGGAGGGAGGGATGGAGGAGCGTTTGTGATCCTGCTTCACTTTTTAAGTCTGCAATCTCTGTGCTTTATGTTTTCTGGGGGGGTGGGGGGAATTTGGGTGAAAAGCAAAGAATATAGGAAGTATCAGAAAGCGCTTTCTTGTGGCTACAGCCAAAGGGACTGCTTTGTGGGCTATTGAAGAGCAGCTTTGGAAAGTTTATTAGGGCTGAATGTACATGTTTATCCTGGGCAGCTGCAATGTGTGTGCTGTGTGTCAGAGCAGAGCTATTACAATGCTTGGAGTGTCAGTGCAGGGGTTGCCAAGTCAATGTTCCTGCAGCCTCGCGACTGGTACAAGGAGCAGCGATCAATCCTCTGTGCATGCTGCAGGCATTGTCTTTTGTATCTGCCATAATTTAATTACTTAAGTTTGGTTTTATATCCAGCAAAGGACTGTTTTTTGTTTTTGTGTTTTGTTTTTTTTTTGGTGTGTGTGTGTTTATATATATTTTTTTTTCTTCCAAAGAAAACAGCTTCAGTGCGTGGCAGCTTAGACTGGGCAGAGATACTGTTAATCTACTTTTCCCAGTGCTATAAAACTGCTGTCCAGGTCACCACTGAGACAGCAGGGACCAAATTCATTTCTGGCATAAGCTGGTAAGACCTGCAGAGAGAAGCCAGCAGATATTTGAACCCATGTAACCAGCAGATGTTTTTAATCTTACCATTCTGGGTACCATGTGAATGTTTGCGTTCATCTCTGATGCTGGATGGGTGGAGAGCTTCCTCTCCATGCTCTGGGCTGGCAGGTAAGCTTAGGATGGCTGTCAGAGCTCTCCTGCCTGGTTTACGGGTTGGGGATGCCACGTGGAAGGCTGGTTCCTCGTGCCAGTCCCTGCTCACCTCCCTGTATGAAGTCTGCACCTCTTCCCCCCGCTGCTGGTTTTGCTGGGGTGTTGCACTCTGCATCCTGCAGGCTGCAGCGGAAGGAAGGCAGAGACTCCTTGCATGCCTCCTGCTAGCCATCAGCCAAAATGGGTGGAGAGAGGAACAAAACACAGGAGGTCTTGTGCATTACATGGGAGGTGTCCTGAACGGAGTTGATTCTTATCCCTGTATTTCGGTTTCGGTTGCAAAGGTAGGGTGTTTGACCAAAAGAGGAGAATCGACAGCTGTCTTCAAGGCATTAACCACTAAACAGGGAATAAAGCGAAGGCAGCCTTGATTCTTCTGAAATGTTGTAACGAGATCTTCACTGCTGTCGTCTTTGCAAACACCAGTGCCTACATTCTTAAGCCTTTTTTAATGTTTGCAGGTTTTGGGTTAACTTTTTTTAACCGTCCAAACCCAGAGTGAAAGGTCAAGCATTGCAGTCATGTTTTTGTATTACAATTGTTTTTGTAGAATAAATTTAACTGGCTTGGTGCTGTTTATTACACGTTCAATTTAGCTTTGTAAGCCAATATATAAAATAAATTTATTACAAATGATTTGTTACCTTTATTTTTTTTTCTGAGGAGTCACAGGTTGTTCCAAATGCTTCTGCTCATGTAGATCAAGTAGTTCCTGCTCTGGAGGGCTGACAGTTTCTAAGTATAACACTGAAGATGGTATGGGGATTGCGTGACAGCCTAATGAGACAATGTGGATCCTTGTGACGCTCGGTGATCTCAGCGCAATAGCCCAGGAGTATCAAATGTTTGGTTGCAAATTAAATCCGTGTTTTGGGCATAGTTGGCATTAAGTAGAGGTGAGGATGAAAGGCAGTTGTCTTGTTTAGTTGCGTTTTGAAGGGAGTGACAGCTTTGGGTGTTGTGGAACCGTAAATATTAATTCAGCTTAATCACTATTTCTGTGGTCCTCTGTAAAGCATTATTCAAAGCGGGGAATGGGACGGAACAGCAAGTCTGCGGTGGCTGAGGGTGCCTCGAGTTTCATACGTTTTGCCATTATTCTCTCAAAGGCAGATCCCTCGCGCAGTGGGTGTGACAACAGCTTCTGCACCATGTCTTGATTCTGCTCTAAGCTGCTGCCGATCCCATGTGCTGGGACCTCCTTAGGCCGTGGTTAGCTTGCCTTTTTTTTGGGACATGGTGTGAAATGCCAGGTGACGGTGCAGGAAGACTCGGGAGGTGGTGAGGGCGTGGGATACAGCGCTGGAGTGGGACAACGTCCCTGCCCTTGCTCCTGGGCTGTTGTCTGTCACCAGGCACCACACTTCCTCCTGGTGTCCCATGGGTTAATGCTCTCTGAGCAAGTCTATTGCAAGGCACTATAAAAAGGAGGCTATTTATATCAAGAATGAAGGCAAAAAGTCATTTTAGACTATTTACCAGATACCCGAGGTTTCCAAGGTTGCAAAATGAGTAGAAGACACCCAGGCAAATCTTGCATGAATGCTGGCAAGTCCTTGGGAAGTTGTCCTTGGGATCTGTTTGCCTGAGCGTTTTCAATTCCCGTCTCACCTGAGTGTCAGTGACTCAGAGCGTGTACACCACGAGCTTTAACTTCTCCGGAGTCTACTTGTGAGACAGCGACAGTAGTCCGTGAGTCATCGTTGTGTAACTTCAGTGGACAGGGGTTGACTCACTGGTGTTTGGTTAGAGCAATATTTAATTGCTCTCATAATGTAGGTCTGGATTATAAAGGGGCAGATTTCCACCAGCAGGAGAGGTGACCGGATCTGTGGCTGCTGTGGAAGTCGATGGGAGCCAGCTGCCTCCTCTCCGGAGCTGGGTTGTTGCTAAGGTATGGGAACAAAAGGGAATGTGAGGCTAAATCTCTCCTCTGAACCTGCATTCCTGTTTAGATGCTTTCACCCAGTCTACGTTGCTAAGTTACAGCTGCAATGTATTCAAGGTTAGGAAAGAGTCCTCAGTTTGGTGTAATTACATTTGCCAGAGGATGTTTGCTTTGAACCAAGTTGCCAGGATGTTTTCCGTGATAGTCTTCCCCCTTTCATTTGCAATTTTGAGAGCACAGAAGACCGGTTTGATGCCGCTCTTGCTGCCATGCTCCTGCGTGTTCTGTACAGGCTGCATTGATGGTTTCTACGGTACTAGCAGCTTTCCCAGAATCCCAGCTCCATTCAGAGAAGAGGGAGCTCATCTCCCTTCCCTGCTCATTGCTCTGCTAACGCCGTGCATTCACCCAACCTGCGCTGCTAACATCCCCCTCCCACTTTCTTGCAAAGTATTAAGTTTCTATAAATAAACTCTCAAACAGTGGGCTGATAAAGCCATCGCATCCCCTCACTGTCAGAAAGGAAAATATGTACCAACAAGGAATCTAAAATAAAATTTGCCCTTTATCTTTTCATTTCCTGCTTCCATTTAAAGCCTTTCACATTAAATGTTTTGTCTCCTGCTGACATGACAGCTGATGCTGTGCCTTATTTATGGGACGCGGAGTCGGGGCACCACGCCAGTTCTCCTGGAAAGATCAACGTGAACCAGAGAAGAAAAAAGCACAGACAGGGAGCCCTGCCCAAGGTGCCTCCTGCCAGCGCTGCCCTGTCTCCCCACTGCCTTCTCCAGGATTTCCAATGTGATTTTGTTCAACCTTTAAAGCAAGGGCCCTTGAACTTGGGGCAGGTGCCTCCAGGTAGGTGTTTCCAAAGGCTTTTGGATACGTTAACCCACCGAATCTCCCTGTAAGGTGCAGTCAGACAGAGCCAGGTCTCTGCCCTGCCTGGCCACCGCCGTCAGTTGGCAAGGACAGGAGTTATTTTTGTGTGAGCACTTCTGCGCTGGGGGAGGCTGGTAAGGTCTGACCCAAAGCCCACGGGTGTCTTTGAGTTGGGTCTCCAAGATGAGACCCCAAAACGTTGTGGAAGCCTTGTTTGACTCCCAGCTGGTCCACGGGGCTGGATTTTTGCACCCTGGTAGCCCCTGGGCTCCTCCATCCCCTACTCCAGGCAGAACAGCAGCTCCTGAGGGCAGGAGCCTCCACGACCTGCCCTCTGATGGAGGAAAGCACCTGCCCTGTTTTTGTTGACAGAGACTTCCCTTAGGGCTGGGTTCAGGCTGTTTACTTCTCCACTCCAAAACATCTCCCTGTGTCCAAACAGCAACAGCAGAGGAAAACACGCTGAGGGTGGCCAGGAGCTGCTGGCCACCAGTTGCGAGCAAGGCTCGCAGGGTTCAGCTGAGCAGCTTCCATGTAAAACAGCTCAAAAATGGTTCAGGGGGGTTTCCCACACCCTGTGCTCCCCCTGGAGCTCCTGGTTTGCTCGCAGAGGTGGCGCCAGCAGTGAGGGCACCTGGAGGAGGGTTCCTGCATTTGCCAGCCAGCAGCTGAGGCTCCAGCAAGGTCCTGGCTGAGCCGTGTCAGGATGAGGCCTGGCTTTGGTGCCGAGGGTACCAAGAACCCAGGGATCCTGAGCCTCCTGTGCCGGCTTGCTTGAGGTTTGGCCTCCCCTAATAACGGCATTCCCTCCCTGTTCCAGTCCATGCCCGAGCTGGCAGTGGGTTGGATTCAGGGACCAACGTCTCCATCAGACGGAGGCTGCAGCCTTCAAGCTGGCCAAGGGTAATAATATCTCCGTGCCCGTAATTAGTTCCTAATTAGCATAGTTTTAATATGAGACGGGCTCGCTCTCCCCTTAGAGCGCTCTGCTTTTTACAAGAGGCTGAGTAATTGCCTCTGCGGCTCTGCGGCCGCCCGGCAGCGGCAATCAGCCCGGCTGCTGGCGGGGGCAGCGCGCGGGGGGCCGCGGCCCCGAGCCGCTCGCGGGCTCCATCTCGGCGTCCTCCGTGCGCTTGTTTTTACCAGAGCAAGAGCTGCCGAGGTCTTGTCTCCCGGCCCAGCGGTGCGCCTGACATAAAAATGAGATTGAAGCAATTAGCGCAGGCATTAAAAATGCATATGATAGCAGGGCGGGCTTCTGCGAGGGGGAAAGGGGCTGCTGGAGACGTGCTGGGTGCTGCAGGGCAATTTGGGGTGCTCGGTCCTGCCTCTCGCTGAGCTGGGGAGTGTTGCCCAGGGGTCTCCCCTCCTCCTGCCGGCTTAATAAGGATCAAATTTAAAACCGCACGCGAGGTCGCATCCTTCAACAGGGCTGCGGTTGGAGGGATGCTCCAGAGCCGAACCCATGGGCAGCGTGTCCCCAAATGTGTGTAGGGACCACGGGGCTCCTTGGGAGCCTCCTGGTGCTGATGCTGCTGGATGATCGTCGTGTTTCAGTCCCTACTCCCTGATTTATCGGGTGCTGCTGAGATTCCTCCTGGTTTCCTTACAGATGGTGTCTTGTGAAGGTCTCGCAGAGGCTGTGGCCCCCCCATCCAGCGAGCTGCTTTCTCCCCAGCACGGTGGGGCTGTGATTTCCCCATCCCGGTGTGTTTTATACCCGACCTCTCCTCTCCCGTGGCGCGAGGGCTGTCACGGTGCAGGTGAGGCTGAGCAGAGCTGAAGCACGGCTGGGGGAAGCCTCACACCCCTCGGCAGAAGGCAGCCAGGTACGGGGCTGCACAAGCACCTGGCAAAAAGTTCTTGAACCTTTTGTAGTGAGGGCACAGAGGGGGTAAAAAAAAAAGAAGCCTGTTGGCAGGGATGCACCACTGGCTGGATTCACAGAGTGCCTGCACGGGCTTTTTTCCTGCCGAAATCAAGCTTTTTTTTATTTTCTTTGGATTTTTTCTCTTTGTTTTAAGGCACTTTCCCGAGCTAATACAGCAGCATAAAGCAGAGTGAAGTCAGGACTCAGGCAGCAGGGAATCAGGGGCTGTGTTTTATCCTCGCCTTTAATCTCGGCCTCTGCCCCCGACTGTCAGTTCGATCCCTCCGGCCTCCGTGATCCTGTTTTCTCCCCCCCAGTTAGCGAGCGTTACCACATCCATCGATCATTAGCTCAGCAGCAAGATTTCCTTCCCCACCTCCCATCACCTTGCTGCAACCCCCCCCGCTGCCCTCCCCATCGCAGCCCCGCTTGTTGGCAGGGATTTGCTGGTGCCCCCCCTTTATTTTATCCCTGGGACAGGAGGGGGACGAGCACGGGCACCTCCTCGTCCTGTGGGATGCCCAGGCCTGCCTGTGCCGTGCGTCCCCCAAAATACCAAAGGGGTCTCGCTGGGACACACCGGGCTGGCAGCAGCAGGAGTAGGAGGCAGGGTGCCCGCAGGGGGGTGTTTGTGTTCCCAGGGGTGCTGGGGAGCCGGGGGGCACGCGCTGTCCTTGCGGCGCTGGCAGGAAACTCTCCGGGACTTTTCCACTCCCCTGCTGGTCCCAGCGTGCCGGGTGTCGATTTTCCCTGCACGAGGCCGTTGGCAGGATCAGGGCCGGGCGTCAGCGGGCTCCGCACCCCCATTGCTGCTTCAGCCCTCACCTGCTGCACGGATTCGGGCACAGCCTGGTCTCACCCCCCCCACCTCCCCTTTCCAAAAATACCTTTCCTTTTCCCAGGCCCGTTAGCTCATCGGTTCAGTCTATCCCAAGCATCCCAGCTCCTTCCGTTGCCTCCATACCACGATACCAGCCCCTTTGCCCCATCTTT